CGATCCAGGAGAGACAATTTAAAAATTATTGGCCTACCTGAAAATCATGATGAAAAAAATAAAAGCACCTGGTCAGTGTCTTTCAGGAAATCATAATAGAAAACTACCCTGAAGTCATAGAACCAGAATGCAAAATAACCATAGAAAGAATCCACTGCTCGCTGCCTGAAAGAGAGACCAAATTGAAAACACCAAGAAATATAATAGCCAAGTTCTGAAATTACAAGATGGAAGAGAAAATACTGCAAGAAGCCAGAAACAAACAATTTAAATCTCATGGAACTACGGTCAGGATTACACAGGACCTTGTAGCTTCTCCTTTAAAAGACCACAGAGTGTGGAACATGATATTCCGTAAAGCAAAGGAGCTTGGATTGCAGCCAAGGATTGACTACCCAGCAAAAATGAGTGTGATATTTCAGAGGAGATGGATATTCAATGAAACAGGGGACTTCCAAACCTTCCTAATAAAAAGATCAGAGCTCAACAAAAAATTTGATCTTCAAGTACAAGATTCAAGAAAGACATAAAAAGGTAAATGGGACAGAAAGACACAATATGTTGTTAATAAGAGCAGACTGTTTACATCCCTTACAAGGGAAGATGACACTTGCAACTCTTGAGAACTGCATTGTTATTACACCATGTTGAAGGAGTATACATAAATAGGGTGGATATTAGTTGACTTTGATGTAATATTTTTTAAAAAATCTAATCAAGTGGGTTAAATGGATCCAAGTAATAGATTAATCTGATCTAAGAAAATGTACTGAGAAAGGAGGAGGCAGACAAGGGTAAATTACATTGCAGGAAAAGACACAAAATCCTATTACAGCAGAGGGAAAGAAGGGAGGGGGATGAGCACTGTTTGAACTTCACTCTCAACAGATTTGGCTCAAGAAGGGATTACCATAATCAGTTAGGTGTAGAAATCTAGCTTGCCCTATAAGCAGTAGGAGGGAAAAGGGGAAAGAAAAGGGAGGGGAGATAGATGGGAGGGAAGAAGCAGTAAGAGTAAAGGGGAAGAAAAGGGAAAGGGCTAATAGAAGGGAGGAGGGATCGGAGGAGGTAGTGGTCAAAAGCAAAACACTAGTGAGGGGGAAAAAGAGAAAGGAAAGCATAAACAGAGGAAAAAAAGGATGGAGAAAAAGACACAGATAGTAATCATAACTGAATATGAACGGGATGAACTCTCCCATAAAACAGAAGTGGATAGCAGAATGGATTAAAAACCGTAATCCTACAATATGTTGTTTACAGGAAACACATTTGAAAAAGAGTGACACGTACAGGGTATAGGTAAAAGGCTAGAGTAGAATATATTATGCTTCAGCTGAAGTAAAAAAAAGCTGGAGTAGCAATCCCGATCTAAGACAAAGTAAAAGCAAAAATAGATCTTATCAAAAGAGATAAGAAAGGAAACTACATCCTGCTAAAAGACACCATAGACAATGAAGTAATATCATTACTAAACATATATGCACCAAATGGTATAGCATCCACATTGCTAAAGGAGAAATTCAGGGAGTTACAGGAAGAAACAGACAGCAAAACTATACTAGTGGGGGACCTGAACCTCCCCCTCTCAGAACTAGATAAATCTAACCACAAAACAAACAAGAAAGAAGTTAAGGAGGTGAATAGAACATTAGAAAAGTTAGGAATGATAGACCTCTAGAGAAAAATGAATGGGAATAGAAAGGAATGTACTATTTTCTCAGCAGTACATGGCACATACACAAAAATTGCCCTTGCACTAGGGCATAAAAATCTCACAATCCAATGCAGAAAGGCAGAAATATTGAATGCATCCTTTTCAGATCATGATGCAATAAAAATTATATGTAATAAAGAACCATGGAATGATAGACTAAAACATAATTTGAAACTAAATAATCCAATCCAAGAAAATGATTGGATCAAACAACAAATCATAGAAACAATCATAATTTCATTCAAGAGAATGACAATAATGAGACAACATACCAAAACTTATGGGATGCAGTGAAAGCAGTTCTTAGGGGAAGTTTTATATCTCTAAATGCTTACATAAATAAAATAGAAAAAGAGGAGTTAATGAATTGGGCATACAACTAAAAAAACTAGAAAAAGAACAACTTAAAAATCCTCAACTAAACACTAAATTAGAAATATTGAAAACCAAAGGAAAAATTAAGAAAATTGAAATTAAAAAAACTATTGAACTAATAAATAAAACTAAGAGCTGGTTTTATGAAAAAACCAATAAAATAGATAAGCCTTTGGTTAATTTAATTAAAAAAAAGAAAGAAGAAAACCAAATTACTAGTATCAAGAATGAAAAGGGTGAAGCTACCACCAAGGAAGAGGAAATTAAAACAATAATTAGGAATTATTTTGCCCTACTATATGCCAACAAATTTGACAATCTTAGTGAAATGGATGCATATATATAAAAATATAAATTGCCCAGATTAACAGAAGAGGAAGTAAAATACTTAAATAACCACATCTCAGAAAAAGAAATTGAACAAGCCATTGATGAACTCCCTAGGAAAAAATCTCCAGAGCCAGATGTATTTACATGTGAATTCTATCAAACATTTAAAAAACAATTAATTCCAATACTACATAGACTATTTGGGAAAATAGGTGAAGGAGTCTTACCAAATTCTCTTTATGATACAAATATGGTGCTGATACCTAAACCAGGAAGAGTCAAAACAGAGAAAGAAAATTATAGAGCAATTTCTTTAATGAATATAGCTGCAAAAATTTTGAACAAAATGTTAGCAAACAGATTACAGCAACTTATTACAAAATAATACACTATGACCAGGTAGGATTTATACCAGGAATGCAGGGTTGGTTCAACAGCAGGAAAACTATCAACATCATTGAGCATATCAACACCAAAACCAACAGAAACCACATGATTATCTCAATAGATGCAGAAAAAGCTTTTAACAAAATACAACACCCATTCCCATTAAAAACACTAGAAAGTATAGGTATAAATGGAGTCTTCCTTAAAAAAGTAAGCATCTATCTAAAATTTTCAGCAAGCATTATATGTAATGGAGACAAGCTAGAAGCATTTACAGTAAGATATGGGGTGAAACAAGGATGTCCATTATCACCACTGTTATTCAATATTGTCCTGGAAACGTCAGCTTTAGCAATAAGAAAAGAAAAAGAAATTAAAGGTATTAGAATAAGCCTTTTGATGGAAAATGCTATCCACATTAAAGAAAGAACTGTGGAAGTTGAATTGCTATTTTTTTTTCTCTTCTGTTGAGTTTTGTTTCCACTTTCTGATGGTTCCACCTATTGGTTTTAATTTTACTTACAAGATCACTAATGTGAAAGTATGTTTAATAGGAATGTAAATGTATAGCCTATATCAGATTGTGAGCCACTTTGGGGAGGGTGGTAGGGAGGAAGAGGGAGAAAAATTTCAAACTCAAAAGAATATGAAAGTGATTGTTGATAAATCAAAAAAATTAATAGGATAAAAAAAATACAAAAAAAGATTGAAGGACTTGGAGCCTAAGGACCTGAGATGGAGCCCTGCACAACCTCTTCTTAGCTGTGTCACTTGGGTGAATCACATGTTCTGGGCCCTTGAGTCCTTTGTGATACAATGAGTGGGTTGGAGCAGACATTTATTATGATTTTTTTTTTTAGCAACTGAATTAAATGTCTTGCCCAGGGTCACAGAGCTAATAAGTGTTTGAGGCTGGATTTGAACTCAAGCCCTCCTGACTCCAGGTCCAGTGCCTATCCACTGCACCACCTAGCTGCCCCTGGATTAGATATTCTTTAAGCCCTTGTCCAGCTTCGATGCTTTCTGGTGCTCACAATAATACTCGAGGTCAGTTATGTAATTTTAATTATTCCCACTGAGTTCATAGGGAAAAGGTTATTCCAACAGGCAAAGAGAATTTTCTGACACCATATATCTGGTGGACAACTGAAGTATTTCCAAATGGCACTCAAACACTGGGGATGCAAAGAGAGGTTAAAAAAAAATGTCCTCATGGGGCAGCTAGGTGGTGCAGTGGATAGAGCACTGGCCTTGGATTCAGAATAACCTGAGTTCAAATCCGGTCTCAGACATATAGCACTTACTAGCTGTGTGACCCTGGGCAAGTCACTTAACCCCCATTGCCCAACCAAAAAAAAAAACCTGTCCTCATGTATCTCACAATCTAATGAAGGGAGACAAGCTGCAAACATCTAAGGATAAACAACATATATACAAGGCAAATAGGGGATGATCAATAGTGGGAAGGCACCAGCTTTAAGGGGCATTTAGCAAAGGCTCCTTGTAAAAGGTGAGATTTTAGCTGAGCCTTGAAGGAAGCCAAGAGGGGCAGATGAGAACGGAGAGCGTTCCAGGCCTGGGGGCAGCCAGAGATCCAATGTCTTGGTCCAGGAACACCAAGAGGTCCAACGCCACCAGATCAAAGAGTACATGTGAGGAAGCAAAGTGCAAAAAAAAAAAAGGTGGGAAGGTCCAAATTCTGAAGATTTAAAAAACTAAAGGGTTTAATATTTGATACTAGAAGTACAGGGAACCACTAGAGTTTAGCACAAAGGGGTGACATCATCAGATGCTGGATGACCTCATCAGATTTGAGTGGAGGATGGGCTGCACTGGGAAGAAAAACTGAGGCAAAGGAAAGTAGACAGTGGGCTATTTGGAAGTCCAGATGTGAGGTGACCTGACCACCTGCCTTTCATTGCATTCTGTATCACCTTTATCCTGCCTTAATTGTCTGAATGCTATATCAACTCTGTCTTATTTTCTTAGTGATAAAAATGTTTTGACAATTCCATATTGGATTTTTCTAAATGGAGAGGATGTTTTGGTACCATATAACACTGCATCTCAAGGAAATGCTACAGCCAACTTTTACAAGAGCTGGTTGTTAAATTTTCAGCATGAGCATTTCTACCTCAGAATTGGCATCCCCTGCAAATTGGTGTTTGGGTCATTGTTTTCTTGATTTCTAAACTTAAGAAAGTAATGGAGATACTGTGAATAATATAACTTGAAAGTATATCTTGTGGGGTTTTCAGAGACCTGGTTGTTAAATCTTGACCAGCAGACCATGCCTGTATCCTGTTAGTAAAAGATATTGTTGTCGTGAAATATCTTGTTAGCATAACCACTCAGAGCAGAAGAAAGATTTCAATTCATTTTGCAATTTTATTTTGAATGAAAGTAATCATGTACAACAACTACATTGAATTTGGCTTCACAGATACTAATTGTCTCTGTGCTGCTCCTTTGCCAGTAAAGAATCACTTGACTTGCAGGATTATCTTGAAGTTTTCTTTACAAGACCCTCAATTTACTGCATTATCTCCCCAGAGAAGTGTTATCTGGAAAATGCTAGCTAATTGATGAAGCAGGACAGAGACATCCAATATTTTCCCCAGTCCCTGGAAGCAGCTCAGTGTATTAAGAAAAGCCTTCGATTTGGAGTCAGAGGACCTGACTTAGTGTCCGCATCACCTCAGACAAGCCCTTTCCCTTCTCTGGCCTTGGTGTTCATTCTTGTTCAATGATTTCTAATAACCCTTCCAGCTCTAAATCAATCATTCAATCAATCTTCACGTATTAATTCTTTCTCTACCAAATGGCCTAAAAGTACATTGACAGAAAATGAAACTACCTCCACTATAATTCTATGAAATGAACAAGGGATTTTTTCCTCTAGAGACATGGTGGAGTAGCTGCTCTAATCAGATTCCCATTGTCTCAGTATTGGAAGGTCCCTTTCAAATGAGATGGCATTTGTAAAATTATTTCCTTAGCACACTGGCTGGAACATAGTAATCATTACATTAAAATTTTTTCCTTCTGGATATCATTAAAATTCTTCTCCCAAAGCAACAACAAGTGAGAGTCAAAGTATTTCATTCAAAACTGCAGTATAGTGTAGATGATACCAAGGAACTGCTCAAAAGAAGTGATTGGGTGTAATTGGTCTTCAACAGTTGTAAAAATGATTGTGCTTAGAGATCACAGCGCCATCTGGGCTTTTTCTGACTGTGATTCTTTCATCTTCATAGGCACAGTCTTGGTCCAGAACTCCCACTTATCCTTCCTCAGGCTCTTTCCTACAGACAGCTGCAAATTCAGCTCCAGGTACTCTTCCTTCTCATCATAGACTGGCCAGTGAAAAAGGTCTGCACCATTTGGATCCCTGGGAGGAAAAACCAAACATTTAGAACAGAAAAGGGACAACCCATTGGCAAGTGTAGCAAGCCACTATCAGCTCAGCCTGGGAGCCAATGGAAGGTTGGGGTCAGCTGACAGTCGTGGTACCCATAGAGAGCTTGTTCATACATCCCAAAAGCAGTTTGGTCTTCACCTTTCCTGTTGGTCCTTTCTAATGCATTTGAAGTACAAAGTGCAAAGAGTGAAAGGACTTATGTAGCAAATAAGTAACAAAGTCAGAATTTGAACTCATATCATTGGACTCCATTTCATTGGGGTAGCTAGGTAGTACAGTGGATAAACCTGTACCTGGAGTCAGGAGGACTTGAGTTGAAATCCAGCCTCACTTACTTACTATGCTATGTGACCCTGGGGAAATCATTTAACCCTGTTTGCCTCAGTTTCCTCATCTGTAGAATGAGCTGGAGAAGGAAATGGCAAACCACTGCAATATCTCTGCCAAGAAAACTCCAGTTGGGGTCACAAATAATCAAACACAATATCACTGGACTCCACATCTAAGGCTTTTGCCACTGCCACCTAGCCTAATGTTTTCCAAGGGGGAAGAGAAGTCACTGACACTCAAGGGTGATGGTGTGGGCCAAGAGAGTTCCTTATATTTCTTGTTTTCCTTTCAAGATGCTCATGTGTGGGGTGAATCTGCCAGAGCAATTCCTCCCCAATCCCAGCCATGAACTTGGGGAAGGCTAAACTCGTTCACCACACCTTGCCTCATTCAAGCAATAGGTTGAATGAACTATTTTTTTTCCTGAAGAAATTTCAATCAGAGAAATTCTATGGAAGTGGGAAATGTTTATGTTCCTAGGAATAGGCAGTACGCCTCAGGGAAACGGTAGGGAAACCAAGGGGCAGCTTTCTCACCCGTGACGGGCAAAGTTTGCCCAGTAGCTCATTATCCTGTAGCTCAGGAGCTTTTCCTCTTCTGTTGCGTCACCTACATCTAGAAAAAGAAAAAGAAACATCTGGTTAAGGTCAAAATGCAGACCCAAAGGCCTGCTTTCCTCCAGTCCCCAGGCCCAAATACCCAGTCACTTCTGGTCTGGCTCCTGAACTGATCTTCTATCAATAGTTTCTTTCATGCCACTCCCTTCCCAGAGGGCCTCCCAGGGCTTTTGTTGGCCTGCTTTATCTGACTCCATAACTGAGTCTCTTCCCAAAAGACAAAGTGATGCAGCTGGTCTAGAAATCAGAAGGACTCAACTTCTAATGCAGCCTCAGACACTGACTAGATGAGTGACCTTGGACAAGTCACTTAACCACTGTCTGCCTTTTTTTCTTTGAAAAATGGGGATACTAATAGCACCTGTGGCTCTGGGTTGTTTGGAGGGTAAAAAAAAAAAGTGGGATATATTTAGAATGTTTTAGAAAATACGTAAAAATGTTACATAAATGCTAGCTATTGTTATAATATTGATATTATTATATTGATATTGTTATATACTTATATAATGTTATAATAATAAAGTATATTACATTATAATTTTATAATGATGTTTTATTTTATGTAATTATGATAATGGTTTGATTGATATAAATATTATGTATGTTAATAATTATCATTATACTAAACTACAATAGTATAGGACCAGCTCTGGTAGCTGGAAAGACTTTGCATATGGCCCCTGTCCCAGAGAACACCAGTTGTTCAAGACCACTGCCTGGGGCAGTGCAGACAGGGTCAGCAGTGGTAGTTGACCCCTAAAGTAGTGAATTCATTGGCAATGGAAGTCATGAAACACATGAAGGTATGAACTGGCCTTCCAGTTATGCCAGGACAGGAGTAGAGAGGTGAAAACAGGGAGAGAAGTCTTCCCAAAAGACAGATTTGGGACCATCTACAAACATTAACTCCAAAGATTGTTAAATGCGAGACTTGTCCAACAATCAATAAATGGATGCACTGGTAGAGGAAGTGAATCAAGAATAGCTGAAGAAAAGGGAGGAAGAGAAGAAGGAAGGAGGAAGGAAGGAAGGAAGGAAGGAAGGAAGGAAGGAAGGAAGGAAGGAAGGAAGGAAGGAAAGAAGGAAGGAAGGATGGAGGAGATAGCAGGAGCAAGGGAGCAAAAAATGGGAGGAAGGGAAGAGGGAAGAGGTCCAGCACATTTGGGCAGATGCACTGTGAACAATTTATGGAAGCACAAGGAAAAGAATCGCATAGAATCAGATGGCATAACAGAGTCTACATTACAAGAGATCATGAGGGTATTAGTGAGGTCACTGGTCCATTGACATAGGGAAACACAGATGGAAATGTGTTTTTTTGTGTTCATGCTTCTCTTCTGGGGAGCAAACTCCAAGAAGTCAGAGACTGTGTCTTATTTATTTTGTGTCTGCCCCAGAGATGAACAGAGGGCTCCGCATGCGGGATGTGCTTAATCATGTAAGCTGAATTGAACAGAATAGCTGATTTAACCTCCTGATTCAATTCACTTGAAGAAACAGTCTAAGTTAGGGGACTTGCAAGACTGATACCTTACTCTCCAATCACTCAGTCAACCAGGTAACTGTTAATTGCCTCCTCTATCCCTGTCACTGTGCCAAGGGTTGGAGATACAAATACAAAGAACAAAAGATGAAAACAAAAACTCTTCTTGGCAGCTGGGCTGCTATTCAGTGCCTCCTAAGGGAACCTGGATTTGGGCTCAGACCTGCTAACTCTGTGATATTGATAAGTCTGCTCCTCTCTTTGAACTTCAGTTTTCTCTTCTGAAAAACAAACACAATCCCTCACTTCCCCACACCCCGACCCTCACAGGGTATTTGGGAAGATCAAATAGCAGTTAGATGACAGGTGGACTGAGTGCTGAACATGGCACCAAGAAACCATGAGTTCAGATGCTGACTCAGACCCTTAACTAGCTCTGTGACTCTTGGCTAGCCAAGGGTCACCTTTCTCAGCCTCCGTTTCCTCATCTATAAAATGGAGATAGCATCAGCACCTACTTCACAGGACTGTTTTGAGGCTATGAAATGAGATTGGCACATATACAAAGCTCTTTGTAAGCCTTCAAGCAGTGTAGAAATGCTAGCTACTTTTACCTGTTGTTATTATCATTATTAAATGAGCCAATACATGGGAAGGTGCTTTGGGGTAAGGTAAGGAATTATTATATGTTTTGATGTCAGAGAGATTAAAGTAGATGATGGAGAAGGCAGACCAGAGGCTGCGGGATTCTGCCCCTTCTGCTCCCACCCTGGCCCACAGCTTCCCTCTCCATCCCATCTCCACTACTTACAAGACTCTCCAGAGACAAAAGAGGCCTCATCACCATGGTCTGCTTTCACAAAATCCGGCTTGACTCCGTTAACCCTACTTGGTCTGTGCTGAAATTCGTAAGAGTAGACTGGAGAGCTGGGACCTAGGCAAACATAAGAAATGCCCGTGGTTAGTGACATATTGAACAAAGGGCAGGGCCACATGCCAGGGGCCCCTGGCGTGGTTCCCTCCTTTGGGGGGGCAGGGCGATGGTAACTGGCCATTAACAGACAAGCTCCTTGAGGGCAGCCCCTTAACAAATCCTGTCCAAGAGTGATGCTGTGAGGCAGGAGAAGTGCTGGCATCCAGAGTAACAGGACCTAGGTTGGAATCCTGGCCCTGTTATTGACTGACTACAAGATCTTGGGTGAATCCTTTTGCTTCTCTGAGACTGATTTTTCAAAGTAAGGTAGAGAAAATAATCCCTGGCCTGTCTACCCAAGAGGGAAGGAGAGGGGAAGAAAATAAGCATATGTTATTCAATTGTTTGTCAGTCGTATTCGACTTTGCGTGATCTCATTTGGGGTTTACTTGGAAAAGATACTGGAGTGGTTTGCCATTTCCTTCTCCAGCTCATTTTACAAATGAAGAAACTGAGGCAAAGAGGAAGAAGGACTTATACAAGGTCACAACTAGTAAGTGTTTGAGGCCATTTTTGGAGTTGGGAAGAGGGGTCTTCCTGACTCCAGGCCCAGAACTCCATCCACTGTGCCACCTAGCTGCCCTATGAATTTGCATTTATAAAGCACTTATTTTGTGCCAGACACTGTGCTAAGTGCTTCGCAAATATTATCTCATTGAGCCTCACAACAACCCTGAGTGCTGTTATCATTTCCATTGAAGAAACTGAGGTAAACAAAGGTTAAATGAGTTGCTGGGGATAACACAACTACAAGGTGTCTGAGTCTAGATTTGAACTCAGGTTTTCCTGATTCCAGGTCCATGCTATATCCACTGGGATGAGGTTGTTGTGAAGATCCAGGTGGATAATGGACGTAAAGTATTTATGATAATAAAATATTCTAGCTAAGGTTCTTGAATTATCTTTTTACAGTTCAGCATTTTTATAACATAATGATAGCATTAGGTTCAACCCAATTGGTTTCCTGTGGTACGTATTTTATTTTATACATTTAAAAACATTACTCTGGAATGAATTTTTAACTTTCCCTGGAGTTCAAAGGGGTCCACAGTGCATACTCACAACAAAAGTTAATAAGATCTGCTTATACAAATGTAGGTTATTATCGTTTATTATTATTTGTAGATAATGGTCACAGAAGCCCACCCCCCCCCCCAAATGCCTGATGGGGATATGAGAGAAGAAGGAAGGTGAATGAGGGGTTTATCCAGTCTGGAGGCTATGACAGCAAAGCCAGAAGCAGGAACCTCCTTCTGCATGAGTGAGTGGGTTATATAGAAACATTGCTCTGGAGAGGAGACATTCTTACTCTGATTCTGAAAAAGGTCATTGCCATACTCACTGTCTTGATATTTGGCCAGTTTGAGAGAAGGAATAACGAAGATGAAATCTCCCACTATTTCCTGGAATTGAGCTCGACATTCTCCCGGGTCCTCGGTGTCTCCTAAATACTCTTCCATCACCAATGGCACAAGTTCAGAAGGCATACACTGTAGGAGACCCAGGAGGAGAGAGAGTAACAGAAAAATGAACATATCTGGCAGTGGATTGTTTGGGGCTGTTTGTTGGTGGATTGTAGGGAATAAGTAAGTGAGCTAGGTGGTGCAGTGGATAAAGCCCTAGAGTCAGGAGGACCTGTGTTCAAATATGACCTCTGACATGTATTAGCTATATGACCCTGGATGACTCAATGAATCTTGTTTGCCTCAGTTTCCTCCTCTGTAAAACGACCTGGAGAAGGAAATGTCAAACTACTCCAGTAACTTTTCCAAGAAAATACCCCAAAAAGGTCATGAAGAGTCAGACATGACTCATCAACTAAACAACCACAAGGAATAAGCCCACACAAGCTTGCCTGTTATTCATAGGTCCTGGACCTCATTAGATCTTTTTACAATCTCCCCACCAGGGCCTGCCTTTTAAGGGTTAAATTCCTCAAAAAGATACTAGACAATTACTTGTTGGGCATGGTGTAGAGAGGATGTCAGCATCAAGGAAAGAATAGAAAGAGCTGGTGTCCCCAAAATCCCTTTCCACTCTGTGACTATGAAAGAAGGAAGTCAGAAGGGGGAAGGACATTCGCTGGGTTTCTCCTGAACTATTTCAATGGCCTCCTGATTGGTCCCTGTGCTTCAGATCTCCCCCCACAACAATCTATCCTCCACTCATCTTCCAAAGTGATTATACATGCACAGATCTAAGCAATATACTCCCTCCCTCAACTAAATAAATTCTAGTGAATGTCCATTACCTCTAAGATTAAATATAAACCCTTCTGTTGGGTATCTAGAGCTTTTAGCAACCTGGCCCCATCCAGTATTATTATATATGATTATGCTCCTCACACTCTGCAGAACAGGTATGTCAACCTTCTGGTTCTACCTCTCACCAATGCCTTTGCATTGGTGAGACTCATGTCACGCAGTACCTTCTACAGAACACCTTTCTTGGTTCCTCCCTCCTCCAGCTGCTAGTCCCTTACCCCTCCCCCAAGATTTGTTCTCTGTATGTTTTCCAACTATCCCTGAAGTACAGGTTATCTCCCTCACAGAATGTAAGTTCTACGAGGCCAGGGACCATTTCACTTTTTCCATATGCCTAGTCCAGTGCCTGCTACTTAGTAGGTGCTTGAAAATAAGCTTGATTAACTGGTATCTCACCAAAGCTGGAGTTTGCAATGCTAAGTGGACACTTTCTTTATCCATGTTTTCCTGAAATCCAGGAATGGCATGTTCCTGTGTAGAGAAAAATGGTGCATTGAGAATGGTCCTTAGAACTTTTTGAAATTTATGCACTTTTTTAAAGAATCTAATCCAAGAATCATTTTACCCTTTAAGGAGGAATTAGTGCCATAGATTTGGTTAGGATGTACTGAATAATGGCCAATACCACTGAACAATTCTCAAGATATTTTGCAAAATGACAGCAAAATGGTGGGTAATGCCAAGTATATAATCAATAGTGGTCATAGTTTCTACGTAACAACCAGTGGCCTTAGACGATGATGGATGCTTACTATAATACATGATGTTGGAAATGATGCAGGCAAATTCTATTTTTCTGATTTGTGTAAATAGACCAACTTTACATGCACATGCTTAAGGATGCAGCTGATAAATGGTTGTTAATACCATGTCATATTCAAAATTAATATTGAGCCAGTGGCCTTTAGATGTGATGATCTGAAGTCCATGGGAAAGAGACCTGGTCTCCCATCAGGAGGCCCAGGTTCTAGTCCCAGCTGTGTGACTGGGGTTAAATCAAGTCCTTTCTGGGAGATTCAGTTCTCTACTTTACAAAATGAGGATAAACATCTTAATGGTCCTACCAGCAGGTAGGGATATATCAGCAGGTATATAAAAAAGTTTTTCATAAACTATAAAGTGCTGTGTTAATATCAGCTGGTATTATTAAATGTTCATTTAAAATAAAGAGACTTGAGGCAGCTCGGTGACACCTGAGTCAGGAAGACCTGAGCTCAAATCTGGCCTCAGACGCTTACTTGCTGTGTGACTTAGGGCAAGTCACTTAACTCTGATTGCCACCAAAAATTTTAAAATTTTGGAAATGAAAAAACTAAAACAAAAGAAAGAGACTTGTAGAGTATATTTTAGCCAAAAAGACATTGACCTTTCTTGGGCTTCTGTTCCTATACTTCTAAAGAAATTTGCACATGAAATGAGTTATTCATTGAGAAAATAATCAAAGGTCGAAAAACTTGTGATTCTTCAGGGAAGCCTGTTTAGGCTAACTTTTCTCATTTTAGAAAAGGCCAATTTACAGAAGAGATAAGGTCAAGATGGCCAGCTAACACATTAGATCACAGAATCAGGATCCAAAATAAGGACTTGACAGGCTAGCATGTTGGACCAACCGCACCCAGTGGGGTCAAATTTAATGGGGAGAAAGTTTTCCAGTCTCAAGATGAGGGAGGCATGGTTAGACAGCAATTTCTTTGAAAAGGATCTAGGGATTTTGGTGAACCACAAGCCCATAAGGAAGCAACGGGTTAATAAGGCAACGTAAAATGCACTGTGACTTTGACCAGTGTTAAGAGAAGCACAGCTTCTAAGAATACGGAGGTGAGAGTCCCTTTGTGCTCTGCCCTGTGGAGGCTACAGTTATCTCCTCCACATAGCGACTTTCCTCATCGTGGTTTCAATATATTACAGGTAGGAGTAAGCAATTAAATGGGAATCTGTGGGAGTTTGCTAAAGCCACAGATGACAGGCAAAGACCAGTAGGTGACACAGAAATTGTTTAGTAACTCAGAAATGCAGAAAACATATATATGGTATTGTATAATATCAACACATGTTATCCTTTAGTACCACAATAATTCAGTCTTCTCTGGTAAAAAGGACAGGGAGTCAAAAATATTATATAGATTTTCTAGATAGTGGGGCACTGCACTTCAATCCACCTGATGTGGATGGGATAACTGTACATCTGGAATCTTTGGTTCAGTTCTGGGCATCACATCTGAGGCAGGAAATAGGGAAGCTGAGAAGGGGGTCATGGTCTTGCCATATAGGGACGGGTTAAAGGAACTTGCTTTGCTGGTCAAAGAAAAAACTTGGGGCAGGGCTGACTTGATAGTTGTCTTGAACTATCTGGTGGATGGTCACCTGGAAGAAGCATTTAATTGGTGTCATTTGCCCTAAAAGCAGAGCTGAGAACAACAGGTAGCAGTGTAAAAAGAAGCACATTTCCACTTCCTGTCATGGTGCCCTGTCCAACCGTGAGAGCTGCCTCAGGAGCCAGGAGGTCTTCCCTCCTCAAAGGTCTTTAAGAAGAGCTGGATGGCCATTCGTCCAGGGAGTTATAGAAGAGATTCTCCTTCAACTCTGGCTTAGATTCCATGGACATCAAGCTCCTGACCTAATCAGAAAGTCTATGATTCTGTAGAGAAGCTGTGGAGATCAGAAAGAAGCTGGCACTGAATAGAACATACTAGAATCTTACCTGTGGAAGCAACCAGCCATATTCGTGGTTGTTGACACCGATAATGGAAGGGACGTGGTTGAACTCTCCTGCAGCCAGCATCTCTTCAGGATGTTTGGGGAAGAATTGTCCATCAACTACACTAGGGATTACATCCAAATGCTGAAGAAAGAAGCAGAATAAAAAAAAATGAAGAAAAGGCAAGTCAGTCTCCATAATGTCCCTTACTTGTATCACTTACTCTTCATTCCCAATGTTACCATCCTATTTTAGACACTTTTTACCACTTACCTGAACTGTTTTGGTTTTTTTTTTCTTTTGGAGGCAGTGAGGGTTAAGTGGTTTGCCCAGGGCACAAAACTAGTTAGTGTCTGAGGCCAAATTTAAACTCAGGCCCTCCTGACTGCAGGGCCAGGGCCATTGTACTACCTAGCAGCCCTCACTTATCTGGACTCTTGCAATAGTCTCCAAACTGTCTCCCTATCTCCATCTCTATGACACAGACACAAACACACACACACACACACACACACACACACACACACACACCTTCGTCATCTCAGATATGCCTATTATAATCCACTGAATTTAAAGGGAAAAAAAGTCCCATTACTCCCCATTACCCAAAGAAAACCTCTAAGACTTCAGGCTGGCATTCAGAACCCTCTCTTCTACCTTTCCATCCTTATCTCATACTATTCAGGCTCTAGCCTGTGCCAAGTACAACATGTTTCACCAACAATAGATTCCCAGCTCTCCACTGAAAGTCAATCACTTTTTCCTACCATTCTGCCTTGGCTCAGTTCATTCCTTATGGCTAGAATCAGCCCATTGCTACCTGTCGAAATTCTTCACTTCGTTCAAGAGCCAATGTGACTGCCTCATCTTCCACAAAGCCTTCTCTGATATGGCAGCCAAAAGGACCCTTTCCTTCCTCAGAGTTCCCACTAGATGTTCTTGTGACTGCCTCTGTGGACGTAGGGTCCGTTACCTGTCTATGGCACAAAACCTTCTCCCCTAAGAAGGGGAGTTCTATCATGGATTCATCCCTTATCCAAACTTTGTGTCCCCCCAGGTCAGACACAGAAGCTGCTCCAGAAATGCTTCTGGAATAAATGGCAGGAGTGCACTCTCCTCAAAGTCAGCAGATCTGGATTCTAGTCCTGGTTCAGCCACTAATGCACTCTGTAACTTTAGGCAAATGACATCTCTCTGGTTTCAATTTTTTCTCCTATGAAATGAGTGCATTGGACCAAGTTATTCTCAAGATCTCTTGCCATAAAGCTTCCTGAAAGGGAGCATTGAAATTGGGCTTTAACAAATGGGGAAGAATTGAACAGACAACGGAGGGCTAGGAGAGGCAGCAGTGGGAGGGCGGAAGGAACACTGGATGGAAGATTGGGAGGCAACTGGGCTGGAATGCCACGGGTAATGTTTACTGACTGTGTGATGGTGGAGAAGTGGAGAAGTGGCTGCCTCTAAGCTCTATGCAGGTTTGTTGTTGTTCCGTTATGTCCAAGTCTTTATAACCCTGAGGACCATAGCACACAAATACAATCCATGGGCTTTTCTTGGCAAAGATACTGGAGTGATTGGCCATTTTCTTCTTCAGTAGATTAAGGCAAACAGAGGTTAAGTGACTTGCCTAAGGTCATACAGCTAGTGGTCTCCTTGACTCCAGGCCTAGTTCTCTATTCATTCAGAAGTTTACCCAACTATAAAACAGTAATACTGATTGTTGCACTTCCTACCTCATGGATTGTTATTGAGAAAGTCACTTTATGAACTAGAATGGCAATAAGAAGGGAAGACTTTACAGACACGAGACACACCTGAACAAAGGTACAGAGGTAAGAGAGCATAGGGAACAATAGAAGACAAAGGATAGATGACTTTTGCTGGAGCATAGAGTACATGCAGGGAGGTAATATAAGATAAGGCAGGAAAGCCATGGAGGCACCAAACCATTCAGTATCTGAATACCAGGCTTGGGTTGGACTGAGAGTCAGGAATCCTTTCTTCTCCCATCTCCTTGGCATCTTCTGTGGCTAACATGAAACTGGACCTCCCAGGTGCTTTGGCAAAGGATATTCATAAGACTGTAGATTTAGAGCTGGAAGGTGCTTTAGAAGATCATCTGGTCCAACCCTCTCGTTTTCCAGGTAAGGAAACCATCATCAAATCAGTTTGAAAAACATAATAGTTTTCAGATTGAAGGAAGAAGAGCCAATATGGCTTATGGACAGAGTAATTAGAGGTAGGGGGAGCTAGGTGGCACAGTGGACTGAGCACTGGCCTGGAGTCAGACAGACTCATCTTCCTCAGTTCAAATCTGACCTCAGACACTTATTAGTTGTGTGAGCCTGGACAAGTCTTTCAGCCCTGTTTGCCTCAGGTCCTTAATGAGCTGGAGGAGAAAAAGGCAAAGCATTTCAGCATCTTTGCCAAAAAGAATCTCAAATGAGGTTACCAAGAGTCAGACACAACTAAAAAATGACTTAACAATTAGATGCAATTAGATCTGGTGTTGATATTTAATCTGGCTCTAACACTTACTGCTAAGTGAATTCTTTGAGGAAGCAATGTGATACAATGAAGAAAGATCCTAGTTCTAAATATATGGGGTCACATAGCTGTCTTAATATTTATGAGGTGTGTGATATTTGGCAAAGTCACTTGGCCCCCCTCAGGGACTCAATTTTCTCCTTTTTAAATATCCAGTCAATACATCAATTCACACACTGTCCTTGGCTCTTGGGATACAAATAGAAAAGCAAATGGCTCCCTGACTTCCTGCTGTTTACATTTAATGACTCTAATTGCCAAGTCTGAAATTTGGAAATGGCATCATATTTATACTACCAATGGCAAAAGATTGTTGCAAAATCATTGAAATGAGATACTGTATGTAAAATGTATGTTTATGAAGGGAATATTTAGATGAGAGCTATCAATCCCAGGGCATAGAGAGAGTCTTCCCACCACTATGATTCTTTCTTCCAAAGATCCATAGGGTATTAGATATGAAAGGTGACTGAGAACAGAATACTGGAGGGAGAAGGGGCCACCAATACCGCCACCACCACCACCAACATCATCTGCATCATCAGCATCATCACATCATTTATTTAGTGCATATTATGTGCCAGGCACTGTGCTAATAAGCACTTTATAATTGTTATCAGCTGATCTTCACAAGAACCATGGAAAATAGGTGTGATTCTCATTTCCATTTTATGAATAAAGAAACTGAGACAAACAGGTTAAATGACAGCTAATTTCTGAGGCTAGAGTTGAAAGCAGGTCCATTTTCCCAGCACTCGAAACTGTGCCCACCAAGCTGCATCCTCTGCATCTTAACTTATAGAATGTTACGACTGGGAAAAAAAGTCGTGTAAAGTAGACTAGCAGGAATGGAAGGAAATTTGGAACAAATAATGTTGAAACCCAGAATGTTAGAATCAGATTAGAATGGATCCTTCCAGCTCTAAAGCCATGATTCTATGAACAGAGAATGCTTGAGTTGGAAGGGTTGTGAGACTAGACCATGAAAAAGCTCAGAACCATAGAACCTGAAATGTTTAGAACACAGAATGTTGGAAGGATTCTTAGGACATAGAATGTCTAGTGTAGAAGGGATGGAACCTTAGTACACAAAAAAAGTTAAGAGCACAGAATATTGAAGGCAGAAGAGATCCTAGTAAGCAAAATATCAGAGCTAGAAAGTATCTTCAGATCAAGAATATTGGAGATGGAAATATCCTTGAAGACCATCTAGTTAGTAGGAAGAAGCTGAGGCTAAGAGAGTGACATTCCCAAGATCTTCACCTCAATACCACCCAATCAAGGTTGAGTGTCCAGCTCTCCCCTAAGCTGTTTTGGCAGTTTGCCTTGGCACTGGAACCTTTGTTTCTCAGCTTACATACCTTGGCAATGGCCAGGATCTCTTCTTCAGATTTGCTCCTAAGGCACTGAACCATGGAGGCAGAACTCTGTCTGTCGCAAGCAGACAGATTAGCAATGGCCTGAAAAAGGCACCCATAAAGAGTTAATATTCTCATCAAGAAACACCTGGTGTGTATCACAATAAAGGAATCTTTTCATACTCATCAGTAATCTAGCAAAGGATCATTTCAACAGGTGATGATGCAGTAATGGTGAAAAGGAGACTAAGGTGGAATCGGTCTGACCACCAAAGAGGTTAAGTCCCCCAATCACAAGCCTTCTCTACACGGGGCTCAGTGACCACCAGTGGGGATAGGGATGGTCAGGGGCAGGTTACAAAGACACAGCCCCTGCTTCCAAAGAGTTTACCATTTCCTTAGGGAGAAACGATCTAAATATCAATAAAAGACACATGATTGGGTCTGGAATGTTGAAAGAGCCCTGAAATTGTCTCAGAGACTTAAATTCTGGTCCCAGTTCAGTCACCAACTCATTGTGTGACTTTGCCAGATTCACTACAGACAGCTAGACAACTTCTGAAGAGGTAGAAGGGACCTTCTAGATCATTGCATTTTGGAGGACTTTTCCTCCTCTTCAGGGGATGTCAGAAAATAGAATTTGGACCTAGAAGGGATGTTACAAACCATCTAATTGAATCAACTTTTACAGAGGAAGAAATTCAGCCCTCAAGAAGGAAATGCCTTATCTAAAATCACAAATACAGCCAGGAACTCAATCCTCCCTCTCTGTGCCTCAGTTTCTTCCTCTGTAAAATGAGGGTGTTGGACTAGATGGTCTCCATGGTAACTTTCAGATTGAACATTCAATGGCATTCCAGTGTACCTTCTTATAGCCCAGGAAAGCCAGAAGGCCAATGGGACACTGGGACATGGGGTTGGGAGGCCAATAAGCCTAAGGAAGGATACAGGGATTGCAAAGACCAAAGAACGAGGAACTTACATTTGTAACCGTTTCTGAGCTGCAAGAAAACAAGGTAGGGACGAAGGCCACACCACTCTGCATGATCGCTCTATGGAACAAGCCTTTGGACAGGGGGGACAGAACCTGGGGAAGCAAAGCACAGCAGAGGGGAGGAGGAAGCAGTCATGGGGGGGCCCAGACACTCCTGGCTTAGCAGAGATAGAGGAGACTGGGAGTCTGAAGGCCAGGATTGTTATTTCCCCTGCCACACCCCTAAGGTACCCATATTGGACATTCCCCAACAGTGGCTTCTCTATGGAACCCTGGTCTTTGAGTCCTTTGGCACAGCCAGGTCTTTAAGATAGTTAGACAGAAAAGAGGCTAAGTAGCTTTGGCCATGGCCCAGGACTCTCTGGGTGGTTCAGTAATAGGGTATGATAAGAAGCCAGTGGTCTGTAATCCAGCAATGCTGTTCCTATGCCCTGCGTCCTTATAAGGTCACATTCTTTATTGATTATTGTTTGTTTATTGATTATGAGAAAGCCCAAGATTGTTGTTAGGATCAAATGACATCAAATCCAACAGTTTTTCCCACTCTATCATGGGAATTTGCTACTTTCCCATCAGCTATTTTTTTTAAGCATAATCTTTCCATGAAAGCCTTCCTCCCATGCTTTATTGCAGCCTGAATAGTATGTCAGTGACATACAATCACCTGGGGTAGGACTACCAAGCCAGAAGATCTTTGCCTCTAAGCCTCCTGATGGATTTTATGTCTGTCCCATGAGGGCCAGCCACGCTAAGCTCTCAGAGGCTCATCAGCAAAGAATGGAGAGAGCAGATCTGCAGCCATAGATGGTCACAAAGGCCACCAGGGAGAGTGCAGAGAGGTGCTGAGCAGCGTTGGGAACAGGTGAACCGAAATGGCAAACTTGTGACTATACTGGGCATTGAATCATTTCTTCGTTACCCTGTGTATTTCTTTTGCTCTTACTTGAAATTGTCAGTAAGCCTTTAAAAAGAAACAACTCATCTTCTTTAAAATAAGAGGAAGAAGGGCCTAGATGATTAGTTGGGACTAGGGCAGGGGAGTATGGTGGGGACTCGAAATGAAAAGCAAGGGAAGGTGCCAGCCTTAGAGAAAGAAGTCATCAGCCACAGTGGTTCTGAGCAGGGTCAGGATAAGAGAAGAGGAAGAAAAACACAGGTACATCCAGGGCTGTGGAACCTGTGGCCTTGAGGCAACATGTGGCCCTCTAGGCCCTCAAGTGCAGTCCTATGACTGAAGCCAAACTTCACAGAACAAATCCCCTTAATAAAATGATTAGCTCTGTGAAGTTTGAGCTCAGTCCAAGGGCTACACTTGAGAATCTAGAAGTCACATGTGACCTTGAGGCTGCAGGTTCCCCACCCCTGGAGACCTTGGGTTTGCCTACAAGAGGCCCCCTTTGGGCTGGGGTCATTTCTTTACCACTTACCTGTGAGGAAACACTTGTGCTCCCAGCTGACCCACCAAAGATGGTCACAAGGCCAGGATCTCCTCCAAAGTGGGCAATGTTCTTTTGGACCCATTTCAGGGCAGCCACCTGATCCAGGTAACCCCAGTTGCCAGGTGCATGCTCATCCCCAGTGCTGAAAGGCACACATTAGACAAGGTTGGAGACTTCTGAAGAAGGGCACCAAGTTCACAGGATTATGAGAATGAGAGACCACTTCCTCCAGCTGGATGATAAGCTGGATAGACTGCTGGACCTAGACCTGGCAAGACCAGTATTCATTTACTAGCTGGTTGACCGTGGGCTAGTCACATAGACCTCTGACTCAGTTACCTCATCAGTAAAATGGGGATAATAATGGCATGTGTCTCTCAGAGTTGTTGAAGGATAAAATGAGACTATTAATAAAGGACTCTGTAAACTTTAAAGGACTATACAAATGCTAGTTGTTGCTGTTCTGATTTTACACATGTAAATTGCTGAGACAGATCTTGAATTCCCCTATTCAAAGGACTCCTAGTGCATGCTTCTTTCCATGACTCACTGTGCCTTCTAGGGGGAGCCTCCACTATGCTGCTTCCTTCCCTTCCAGCTTACTCCCTGATCTCTTCCACCTCCCCAATACCTGTCTTGCCCCCACTCTCCCTTCCCTCCTCCTTTTTAAGCTCTCTTTTCTATTTTGTCTTCCCCTATTAAGTCAAGAAGCATTTACTGAGCACCCACTATGTGCCAGGCACTATACCAAGCTCTGGGTATACAGAGAAAAGTAAATATAGTCCCTGCCCTCAAGGAGTTTGCAGTTTAATGGGAAAGACAGCATGCAAACAGCTGTGCCCAAAGAAGATCTATACAGGAGAAGTTGAGAATGATCCCAGAGGGAAGGCTCTGGCAGTAAGGGAGATAGGGAGAGGCTTCTTGCAGAAGGTGGGATTAGCACCAACTCCTGAAGGAAGCCAAAGGAAAAGGAGAGAAAATGAACTGATTCTATGGGGTATCTTATTCAAGGATGAGGAAGGAGGTAGAGAATGTGCGAGTATGAGAAAACTAGAGAGGTGAGAGGAGGCCAGGCTCCTCTCTGTGAACTCTGCCATCTAGCAACATCACTATCCTTGTTGTCCTTGCACACAACTCTGTACCTCCCAAGTCTGACTTTCCCTGCCTATCCCCATGACTGGAATTCTTTGAAGGAATCTGAGACAGTTCTAATCCCACCTTCTTTAACAGATCTAGCCTTTCCTCCTCACCCTCCCCCAACACATCCCTCATTACTGGGGCCTTCCAGAGCAAGGACCCTAGTTTGAGACTTTATAGAAATTGGTCCTGGGGAAGCTAGGAGAAACATGAGCTTTATTACCATGTGGTGAACCAAGCAGGCAAAAATGAAAGCAACGCACGCACACGCACACACACATACAGACAGATACTCACAAGTGCACACACACACATCATATGAGAACCTGCATTGACAGATAGAGATTCAGGGCACTACTATGCAGGAGAATTGTACAGGGGCAAGACTGGTGAGAGTGAAGAGATGTCTAGGCATAAAAGGGAGGAGATGTATGGGGTGATAGCTAGTGGGGATGGATGGATGTATGGATGGATAGATGGAAACAGTAAGATTTTTAGATAACACAGGTGAGACATGGTCAGGTTTATAGGTAGTGCAGAAGTAGCTGGGAGGAGGTGTGGAAGGGGGAAAGGAGGGAGAAAGAGACAGAGAGAGAGAGAGATTAAAAAACAGTGAAAGTGAGAATGATACAAACAGCAATCTTCTGGAAAATACTGGATGGAATTGAATCATTTATGTGTGTAGAAAGCTTTGCCTTAGTGAATAAAAAGTCTACTTCCTCATGTAAGACAAGAGGTAAAGGATGAGATAGGAACACGAAGCATTTGATCAATATGAGATAAAGAGGAGGAAATATGATGGAGTTCAGTGGATGGCCTAATTTTTTTTCCAGCAAAATAGAAAGCAAGGTTGTGTGTTGAGATGGTAAGGAGAGGAGGAGCCATGAGAAGTTTCAGGAGGGATGCAAAGGTTTAGAAAAGCCACACTGGTGAGTGAGAAAGTGAATTGAGTACACAGGTGCAGAAAGATTGCCTTGTCACAGTGAGGACACAGTTAAGATTATGTACTATTAACCTATATGGACACAGGCACCATGGCTTCATGTTTTTCTCTATCTTCATTCAGCAATATGCAAAGAAGAGCAAAAGAAGTGGGTGATGGGAGAAAACAAAAGCTGAGGTTTGGTAGGGAAAGATTTGTCATAAGATAACAGGTCAGTGCAGAAATGAAGTGGTTCACTAAAGGGTTAAGATGGGGAAGGGAAGAGAGTATAACAAGACAGGGGTGATGGCCTGGGAAAGAACTGAAGGTGGGAGGATTGAAGGTCAAGGATGAGGATGAAGAACAAGGTTAGGGTGTACCAGGCAGAGAATCTAGTGGAGTGACAAGACATTATAATTAGATGGAGAAATTTCAGAGTTAATGAACATAGAAGTGGAACAATCATGAGTCAGAGTAAAATCAAGGGTGGTACCATCTCTGTATCTAGCTGAGGTGGGGTGGAGGAGTAGGTTATGAGATATGAATACACAGAGGAACTGGGGAGTTAGAATGTTGAAGGGAATATCAAGATGAATGTTGAAGTTCTTCAGTATGAAAGTGGAAGTTGGCAAAAAAAGAAAGACTGGAAATAAGGTACTGAACTCCTTGAGAAAGGAAGGAGAGTGTTCCAGAAAATGTGATAAATAACAGCTACTAGAATCTTGATTGGGTGATAAATATCAATTGAATGAGCCTCAAAGGAGGAGAAGTTACTGAGTGCTGATGAAAGGGGAGAGTCTGGAAGTGGTAGTGGGAAACAGGAAGTATTTTGGCTTTCTTGTGATGGAGGTATGAGCGAAAATGCAAATAGTAGTAGAAATGATCACCAGGAGAGCTGTGTCCTCAGAAAAACAAGTCAGGTTTTGCTGAGTACAAGTAGGTAGAAGGGGTAAGAGAAAAAGGGTTAAAGATGAAAACAGGTTTGTTACTTATGGAGCAGAAATTCCAGAGAGCACAGTGAAAAGCGGAGATAGCTTTAGAGTAAGACACTACAGGAAATTAGTATTTGGCAAGCTAATGTAACCATGGGCTTTATTACTATGCAGTACAGCAAGCTGGGGTTAGGTTAACACAGTACGACTATCTTGTTTTCTTGTTTGGTAACCCTAACACTAAAGTGCCTGCTGCTTAAAAAATGTTCTATATACCTGCCTATCTTTCTGCTAGTCTGTCCATCCATCCATCAATCCATCCATCTATCTATCTATGTATCTATCTATCTATGTCTGTCTGTCTGTCTGTCTGTCTATCTATCTATCTAAAATCTTAGGACAAGAGAGTGAATTTATTGGTCATAAGAAGCAGAGCCATAATTTGAAATTGGGTCCTCTGGCCACAAATCTAGTTTTTTTTCTATTATATCATGATTAGCTTGTAGGGAAGGCAAGGGAAAGAAAGAGATATGAAGTCTAGTCAGTAATTTATGCTTATCATCATTCAACCACTCAGAGATCTGGGAATTCGTCAAGGAAAAAAATCTTGTACTCATATTTCAGTGAGCTCAAATCTCACCTGAAGAACCCAAGGATGCCCAGCCTGTACTGGATAGCAACGACTACCACATTCTGGGTGGCAGACAATATGGAACCATCACTTTGGGAAGCAGAACCAGAAAGGAGAGCACCACCATGGATCCACACCATCACCTGCAGGAATCAGACATAGTTTTCCTTTTCTTTTCCACTCATAAAACTTTTATTCCACTTACATCAGCTTAATATACATGTTCCTAACTATTATGCTTGGATTGTTCATGAAAATTTCATAAAACATTAGGCAAAGCTAGCCATTGTCTCAAGTTATTTCCCTGTTAACTATTTTTACAGCACATGCATGTTAGGCAAGTATCAAAAAGATCACAATAGCAAAAAACCTAAAAAAAGTTAAATAAATGGTTTTTTTGTTTTACTGCTGTGCTTCAGACATAGTGACTTTATGAATACCAAGCAATTCATTTTTTACTGCATCTTTACTTGTACATTTGTTCTTAGGATGCCTAAACCATTTAAATGCAAATAAAATGAGTGTAGCAAAAATAATGAAAGCTAACAGCAGGTAACTTTACAAATAATGGAATGTGAACCATTTCTGCCCTTCTCCAGAGTAAATTGACTGGGTTAAAACTGGGTCTTAAGGAACACTTTTGCAACTGCAATCATAAAGGTGTACACATTGAGATCGTGTATTCCACAGATACACATGGAATGACGTGTGATATCTATGGCACATCTGTTTCTACCACAGCCATGATTGCTCCAACCCTAAAGTACCCAAAAGAACTACACCTGTGGCTAGAACCAATTATCCCTTTATCCCCCCACCATGACAGACCAATATGTAGGCAGTTTTCTTTGCTTAGACATGGAAGCTTTTTTAACACTTGCCTTGTGAAATCACAGGGTACCAAAAGTACTATGCCAAACATGTAAAATGTGTATAAGAATTCCAAGTCCCCATATTGACCACCTCAGATGAAAACAGATAACTCCCCAAATGTTAACTCGCTCTACTCCCCTAATATTAAACATAAAAACCACATGGGAAACATAGAAATCCAAATAGAGGTAACATAAACCTGTCATAAATCGTAAACAAAAACTATTTGTGGGACAGCATGGATGACAAATGGTCTACTGTGTAAATTTTAGAATGAGGCAGAGAAAAGTTGGAAGGCTGATTAATTCTCCCATCCCTCTCTTGCTTCAGCTTCATCTCCTTGGGTGTCTGATGTCCACAATGTCAAGTTGTCTCTCATTAATTGCATTATTAGTGTGCTGTCTTTGTATGATTTTTCGCTTAATGTATCAAGTTCAGCAATGGCTTCATCGAAAACTGTCTTTGCAAGGGAGCAGGCTTTCTCTGGAGAGTTCAGGATCTCATAATAGAACACAGAGAAGTTCAAGGCCAGACCCAATCTTATAGGATGCTTTGGTTGCATCTCCTTTTCGCTGATTTCAAAAGCTTCTTGATATGTTTGTTGTGATTGATCCACTGTTCCTTTCTTGTCGTCACCAGCAGCAACCTCAGCCAAAAAATGGTAATAGTCTCCTTTCATTTTCAAATAGAAAACTGCTTTCTGCTTGTGAAGCATTAGGACTCAAAGACTTTTCCAATAGAGACTGTACATCATTGCAGATGTCTCTTCGTTTGGTCTCAATTTTCTCTCTGTGTTCTCGGTCCACCTCCTGTTTTTTCTCAGCACCTTCTGTCATTAGCTCAATACTTGAAACAACCGTCCAAGACGACCTTCAAGCCCCTATGGCATTTTTGTAAGCAACAGAGAGAAGATGCCTCTCCTCATTGGAAAATTCAGCTCCTTGCTCAGTTACAGACTTCATGCAGGCTGCCATGTCATCATATCTCTCAGCCTGCTCAGCCATTTTGACCTTCTGCACCAGCTCATTTTTATCCATGACCGAATATTCTGTGCCCAGAGTGAGTGGCAGCAGCAGGTGGACAGATGGGGGGTTCAGCAGTCTCTGGGCAGAGGCAGTGGCAGTGGAGGGGCTGAAACTTCGTCAGACATAGTTTTCCTTGCAGGAATAAGTCACACCAAGTGTGCCTTTGCCACTACTTTGCTCAACAGGAGAATATTGTATCCTCTTATCTTTTGACCAATGTTAAAGTAGCTCTAAATGTGAGTGAATTTACTTATCAAGATACTGTATATCAAGAGTTGACCTGATGCATCTGAACTACTCTCAGGTAAGAGTCCACTTGACTTGACTCAGAGGCAGTTCAGATCCTCCTTGGAATCTTCCTGGCACAATCAGCTCCCTCAGGTCCTCCTGCTGTCAAAGATTCACATGGAGCAAAACAGTCTCTTCTAAAGGATCCTTGTTCCCTTGAAACAGGAAAAGGAGGCAGGACTCCCTTCTGAGGGACACAGACCCAAGTAGGCAACAGAGAATGCACTGTGGGAAATAAGCTCTCAGTGTCACATCATCTTGTGAGTGTTTCAACTGTGGCCCAGAGAACCTTTCTATGTAACAGTAGCTGCTCTCTCAAAGCCAAGGGAAGCTGCTAGAGCAGATTACCGGCATTAGGCTATGCCTTGGATTGGTTCTTTTTTTTTTTTTAATTAAGTTATTGAATAAAACAATCATTTGTATAATACAGTATAATTGAAAAGATGATCACACAGGAAAATGCAAATCCAATATATACAATCTGCAATTTCTTTTAAATATAAAACCAAGTTGTCAAAGTACATTTTTTTTCTTTTTGGTTCTTATACGTTACTCACTTTATAAGGAGAAGTTTCCACTGATTAAAACCAATCTTTAAAAGACTTTAACCCATCTCCTGCTCATAAGCCTGTGTTTAATTCTTCCCATTATATTCGTATTGTGGAGATGGGGGGGGCAGGGAGGGATGTCATTTCAATCTTATATCACTGACATCAAACAGGATACCCCAACTAAAACATAGGAGACCAAAATAACTTTTAGCCAAGCTAAGCTGCAGGGTTACCATTCTTTCAGGAAATCAGAACCAGTAAGACTTATTGTCTCCTTAAGAGCATAATGATGTTGTTGTTGAGTTCTGTCCAATTCTTTGTGATGCTGTATGAGAGTTTCTTGGCAAAGATACTGGAGCGGTTTGCCATTTCTTCCTCGAGTAGATTAAGGCAAACAGAGGCTGACAGAGCTAGAGAATGCCTGAGGGCAGATCTGAACTCAGCTCTTCCTAACTCCACACTGAACCAACTAGGCCAATAGATAGAGCATAATTCTAAGGGTTAAATGCTGGGTGAGGAAGAGATCATATTATTTCTATATCTAAAACTACAAGAGAAAGGCTAATGTTACTGTTTAGATAACACCATTATGATTTCAATGTACACTTCCTTTAGTCAATGGATTAGGATGTTGCATGCCTAGTAGGCACAAAGAGATGAAGGGGATTTTATTCACTTGGGAAGATTTTTTTACCTTCCTTGGAATGAAGCAAGTGATTGGTTGGGATTCTGTGGGGGACATGCTTGGACATCAGAAAGTAGACAGTTGAAACTGTATGAGCAAATGAAATGGACCAAATCCTGGACACTGAGAAAGCCAGAGTATGCACTGGCTATGGGCAGGGCACACTTTGTTATGAATAACTGAGTACATGGAAAGAACAGGGAGCCCATCACACAAGTGGACTTTTCTTGGAATTCATTTCCTTGGGTGATCATGGAGGTCTATATGACTGTGTATCCAAAAATTCTATCTCAGGCAGGATCCTAGGTGGTAGAGCTGGAAGGGATTTTAGAGATTACCTAGTGCAACACCCCCATTTGACACATGAGGAAACTGAGACCCAGAGAAGTTAAGTGACTTGCAGAAGGTCATAAAGCTAGTAAGTGGCAGAGCTGAGATTTGATCTCAGGAATTCCCACTCTAAATGCTATGTTCTCATCACTACACTCTGTGGTTTGGTTGCTACTATACCCATCTCCCTTCCCAAACTCCATTCAAAACATAAATCCTTAGGGTACTAACAGTGAAGGAAGCTATAAGATCAGACTCTTTCTAGTGTAATTGATCTGAACCCAGGCCTGCTGAGCTATGCCTGAGCAAGCTCAGTTTCTCTTATACAAAAGTTCTCTGCTCTATGCAACCAGGCAGCCTGACACCTACCCCAGCTCACTCCTTCCTTCCAAGTGCAACTTTGTCTCCTGGAAGTAATGGAAATTCATTTGCTTGTTTCCCTTTGCAGGGCCAGCATGGGTGGCATTTCCTCCAGTCTTAGACTCCTCCAAGCCCTAGAGTATTCCAAACTCCAAACTCCTTTCATGAAAACAACTCTGATAATCCTATATTTAGGAACTTGCTCTGGCTTTGAGGTATATTCATTCATTCATTCAATACATTTACTGAGCATCTACTCTGTGCAAGGCTCTGGGATAGGTATTTTGAATGAGACCAGGTCCCTTCTCTCAAAGTACTGATAGTCAACTAGAAGGAAAGGATAGGATATAGATCCAAAAACCATAATACAGACTGTTGTATTCTGTATTGGGCCAGCTAGGTGGCGTAGTGGATAGAGTGCTGGGCCTGGAGTCAGGAAGACTCATCTTTCCATGTTCAAATCTGGCCTCAGACACTTATGAGCTGTGTAACCCTAGGCAAGTCACTTTACCCTGGTTGCCTCTGTTTCCTTATCTGCAAAATGGGATGGAGGAGGAAGTGGCAAATCACTCCAGCATCCTTGCCAAGAACACCCCAAAAGGGGTCATGAAGAGTCAGACACAACTGAAAATCCCTACTGAGCAACAACACAGTCTATATTAAGTGTCATAAGGGAGATCCAAAATGACATTAAGGTAACATTAAGGTGAGAGAAAACCCACCTCTCTTTCTATCCCCAGCACTAATGAGAAGGGCTCCAGGCTCATAGAAATGGTTGTTGAGTTGAATGTTGATTTGTTGAAGTTCAGAGAAGGTTTCATGGGCAGAGAAAATTTCAGCAATTTTGTTCACTATCATTTATTTTAAGTAAGGAAGCCCAGGGCTAGCCTTGGAGTGAGAAGGGCTGGGTTTGAGTTCTGCCTTGAGCACATATGAGATGTGTAACCACAAAGAAGTTACTTAGCATCCCAGTACACCAGACAAGCCAAGACTCTAAGTTACAAAAGAGGTGGCCGTCCTCATCAACAGAGAGAGTTTCCACATAGTCAAGTTCTCTATAGCAATGAGATGATAGCTCTGGACAGGATCAAGAAGTGTTTGGAAGGTCACACTTTTACAATGTTTTGCTCTCTTTCTATAGCAATAATAACTTGTAGCAGAAATTGATATCAATCTAGATCATGGAACCAACTCCCTGAAGTTATTTCAGTCATTTTCAGGGATGCCCAACTCTCCATGACTCCATTTGGGGTTTTCTTGGCAGAGACTCTGGACTGGTTTTCCATGTCCTTCTCTAGCTCATTTTACAGATGAGGAAACTGAGGCAAGGAGGGTGAGGTGAATTGCCCTGGGTCATACAGCTAGTAAATGTCTCAGGCTAGATTTTAACTCAGGAAAATTAGATTTCCTGACTCCGCCCCCTAGATGCCTTTTAAATATATGGAGGCAGATTTCAGCCTCATAGAAGGAGGCATTTGCTAACCATGTGAGTTTTTGCCCAAGGGTTGAGCTGATTGCCTTCAGGAGTAGTGAGCTCCCTGACTAAGACAACTTCAGGGAAGGCCAGACAACTTGTCAGAGATATTTAGAGAACATGATTGTTCCAGTGGTGGTGGGACGAAGTGACCTCCAAGGTCCCACCCAGTTCCTATGCCTTAGGATTCTCATCCTCTCCTGTGGAAGATATAGAGATCTGGCTTACCGGCAATTCATCCCCCTCCTTTGCATGGACAGGAGCATAGATATTGAGGTACAAACAGTCTTCAGAATTGGCAGGAATAGAGAGGTTTATTTTCATGCTCACTGCCAGTTCTTCTAGATAACTGACATCCTGCAAACACCTGAAAAACATAAGAGATGAATGATCTGAATAAAATCACATGGGGATAACAATAATAGTAATAATAATGATAACTGAGTGCTTTGAGGTTTGCAAAGCACTTTACAAACATGATCTCATTTGGCCATCACAATAACCTTGAGAGGTAGGTGCTATTATTATCATCCCAATTTCACAGATGAGGAAACTGAGGCAGGCAGAGGTGCAGTGACTTGCAAACATTTCACAACTTCTAAAAAGTCTTCTTTCTTATTCATTGTGTATTGAAATGTTTGGTTTGTTGGTGAATGTTAAGTTGGAAACAAAGTATTTTTTAAATTACAAAAAAAACCCTGTAAATAGATATTACCAATGGTTGAATAGCTGAACACATCACAGTATGTGAATGCCTTGGAATGTGATTGCATTGTAATAGAGGATGAATGCGAGGAATTCAGAAATCGTGCTGCAGATCGATGAAAGTCGAGCTAGACCAAGACAGAACACGACTAGAGGTATTTTAACAAGAGCATCACTGTCGGCCAAGGTGTCAGTTAGATTTTCTTTGTTACAGAGGACCATTAGGTTGGAGGAGTACGAGGGAGGCTGGGGTAGGGAATAGGCAATAAATGTGGTCTCCAAAGGAAAAGACAGCAAACTGCTTAAAAAAGAAAATGAGGGTTCAGATTCAATGACCTCCAGCTTTTTGAGCCTATCAGTCTGAGTCCTGGCTTGGTTATTTTCCAGCTTTGTGTCCTTGGGTGAGTCACTTAATGTCTGTTGTTATTCAATTCTGTCTGACCTGTCATAATCTGCAAGAGGCTTCTTGGCAGAGATACTATAACAGTTTGGCATTTCCTTCTCCTGCTCCTTTTACAGATGAGGAAACTGAAGGCAAGCAGAGTGAAGTGACTCGCTCAGGGTCACACAGTTAGTGAGTGTCTAAGGCTGGATTTGAACTCAGGTCTTTCTTACTGCAGGCCCAGTATTCTATCTTCTGAGCCAGCTAGCTGCTTCTAATCTGTCAGCCTTTGTTTTCCCATCTGTAGTAATATGTATACTAACTACCTCACAGTATTTTCTGAAGTCTGCTATTCTCTAAAGTCCAAATAATCATAGACTGTTATCATTAAGCAATTATCTGAGGCCTCACAGCCCAGGGAACATTCATACCTAGAACAAATACTTAATTAATGTCTGCTGTTTGCAGAGCACAGAGAGACAAAATGTGGGTAAGACATGATGGCGCCCTGTGCTCATCTGGTAAGAAAAGGAGAGAGGAAAGTGCTTACATAGATGGCTGAGAAGTTGTATCTCTCACATTGCTCCAGGAATCTGGTGGTTGTGGTGGAGAAAACCTCAGAGCCCCCACAGGGGGTTTGGCAAAGGGGATTCCCAGGAAAGCATTGACACTTTTGTCTATCCCCTTGATACTGATTTGAGTGCCTTGGATCTGTCCAGACTCAGTGGTCCTGATGAGGTCATCTGCTTGATGCCCTGTGAAGAAAAGGGAGAGAAATCCTCAAGGACAGAGGCTGAAATAATGTCCAAAAGCCCCCTCCACATCTCCCATCATGAGCATTTTTTCATTAGATGGGAATGCAAGCTTCCTCCTAATTCTGCCATGATTCTTTTCATTTCCTTTAAAGATCTCTAACAATGGGGAATTTACTCCAGAGAAGGGCCATTTGCACTTCAAGACAGCTCTGCCACTGACTCAGGAGCTGTCCAGCATTAGGAACCTGAGTCTCAAGATCAAAGCAACTGCTACCCAGTAATCCCACCCCCAGCCCAGTTTAGGAAAGCACAGAGCTAAAAATCAGTGCCATATAGTTTACTAGTATGATTCACCTGAGGAAGACTTCAGGAGCACCTACTATGGGCAATGCCCTCAGCTCTGAATTGAGGATAAAATGGCAGGAATTTCCATTCTTCCAGAGAACAATGACCTGTGCACCAATAACTAGGAATACAAGGGAGAGGTATAAAGGAGAGCTCCCGGCAAAGAGCTAGGAAAAGATTTGAGGAGGGTCAGGAAAGGCTCTGCTGCAAGTGGAAGTGCCCAAGCTGGGTCTTTAATGAAGAGTCTTCAACAGAACTAGACTAGGGGAAGTGCTTTCTTGGCGTGGGAAAGACAGTAGATGAAGAAGGGAGACAGGAGACTGCAGGAGATGAAAAGCAGATGAAAAGTAGCTACATTGGGCTACAGCATGAGCCAGAAAGACTCATGTTCCTGAGCTCCAATACAGCCTCACCTATTTCCCTGGGCAAATCATTTAACCTATTTGCCATAAGTTTCCTCATCTGTAAAATGAGCTGGAGAAGGAAATGGCAAACCAATTCTAGTACATTTACCAAGAAGACCCTAAATGGGGTCACCAAGAGTGGGATATAATTGAAAAAGAACTGAACAACAATACAACAAATGTGAATAGAGTAGTCGGTGAGAAGGCTGGATGCACAGAGTACTGTATTTGGACTCAGAGAATAGGGATTTAATCATAGCTCTCCCTTTTACTGCCTGTGTGAACTTGTTACAATTTCCTTCCCTTCCATAAGCCTGTTTCTCCTCTTTGATGAAATGGGAAAAGGGCATTGAATTCCATGGTCCTTAAGATTCCTCCCAGCTCTCCAACCTAGAGTCCAAGAGCTACAGACTGCTGAAGTGTCAGGGCACATGGCCACTCTCTGCCTAGATCAGGACAAAAGTCAGGTGTGCCTCTGAAAGATAAGCACTCCCCTTATATAAAAGGAGATCAAAGTATAGCCTTACACAAAATGCCTGGGAGTGACTTTAACATATATCGGCTGGGATTCAGTTTCTCCTCTATAATTATAGTGGTTTGGAAGGATGAAAATTAAGACATAATCCAAAGCCTCCAGCTTTGGAGATAAGAACTCATTGTTTGACAAAAACTTCTAGGAAAACTGGAAAACAGTGTGACAGAAACTAGGCATAGACCAACATCTAACAGCCTATACCAAGATAAAGTCAAAATGGATACATGATTTAGACACAAAGGGTGATACCATAAGCAAATTAGGAGAGCAAGGAATAGTTTACCTGTCAGATGTATGGAAAAGGCAAGAATTTCTGACCAAACAAGAGGTAGAGGGCAGCTAGGTGGCGCAATGGATAGAGCACCGGCCCTGAAGTCAGGAGGACCTGAGTTCAAATCCTGCCTCAGACCAAACACTTGACACTTACTAGCTGTGTGACCCTGGGCAAGTCACTTAACCCCAATTGCCAAAAAAAAAAAAACCCAAGAGATAGAGAACATTATGAAATATAAAATGAATCATTTGGATTACATTAAATGAAGAAGGTTTTTTACCAACACAACCAACATAACCAAGATTAGAAGGAAAGCAAATAGATAGGAAACCATTATTATAGCAAGTGTTTCTGATAAAGCCCTCATGGCTCAAATACACCAAGCACTGAGCCAAATTTATCAGAATGCCAGTCATTCCCCAACTGATAAATGGTCAAAGGGTAGGAACAGGCAGTTTCCAGATGAAGAAATTAAAGCAATCTAGGGCAATACAAAAATGTTCTATATCACTACTGATTAGACAAATGTCCATCAAAACAATTCTGTGGTACCCCATCACATCTATCAGATTGGGTATAATGACAGAAAGGGAAAATGATAAGTATTGGAGAAGATGTGAAATTGGGACACTAATGCACTGTTGGTGGATTTTGAACTTATCTGACTATTTTGGAGAACCATTTAAAACTATGCCCAAAGGGCTATAAAAATATGAATAGTGGGGCAGCTTTTCTCTTTTGTTTTGTTTCTTCTTCACAACATGACTAATGTGGAAATATGTTTACATTATTCCAAATGTATAACCTATATCAGATTGCTTGTCATCTTGGGGAGGGAGGATGTCAGGAAGGGTAGAAGAAAAAATTTGAAACTCAAAATCTTCTAAAAATGAATATCAATTGAGCAGAGACAGAGGCTGTGGACCCCTGGCCAGTTCCTCCGGAGTTTCCACTCCCCTCTGCACCCACTGCTTCTGGCTTCCAGACCTCCAAACCAGACTGCCTCATCCTGGAACTTTCCACAGTGCCTGGAGCTTCCTTGCCCAGGTACAGCCAACCACTGCTGGAAACTCCTCAATTCAGAAGCCCCTCTGCAGTGCTGGTCCCATCTCCCATTGCCACAAAATAAATCTTCAGTGAAGTAAAGGACCACTTAGCATTCCTGATGGAAAGGCCAGAGCTGGGAAGAAACTTTGAAGTGAAAACAGAGGAGTGAAGAAAAACCATAAAAAGGAGGCTTTGCAATGTTCCAGAGCTTGATGAAACCAGTATGATGTTGTCCACAAACAGGACCAACTAGAGGCCCTCACTATCCAAAGGGAATCTTTGTTTAGCCCAGACTGAGCTGATCTCCTCCACCCAAATGGTGAACAACTTAGGTTTTCCAAAGTATTTCTTACTATCCTCATTTATTTCCAACTTTACATTGAAGTCACTAAATATCAAAGTCAATGATAATATAATTTGAAGGGTTATACCAAGCTCCTCATAGAATTTCTCTACACACTTATCTCAAACAAATGTTGGTGCATAGCGTACAATTATCTTCTTGGTCGTCTTTTTACAAGAACTTATCACAAGAAAAACCAATCAACAAGGATGTATTAAGCACATACTATGTACCAGGATGGCACTGAAGATACAAGTACCAAGAATGAAATAATCCTTGTTTGCAACAAAGCCACATTTTAATGGACTCCAAATGTCCCAGGAAAAGAGGTTCCTTGTGGCCTTTAGGCATACAATAAAACCAACTCTACCACATCTTTTATTAGCCTCTGCAAGAGGAACCTGTGAGCCACTCTTGGCTTCCTGATTCCACTTAGAGGAAGAATTTCAAGATTGATACAATTCCGTTCCTCCCATGGTAGGTCCACTCATTTGTCACTGGTCAAGGATTTCATATTTAGATTGTTAAAGTTTATAAACGTGGGGGGAGGAAATCTCTGAAGCAAGTTTCTTTTATTTTCAAGATCTGTAAGAGACTAAACCAAATTATTTTCTAAGTACCATTCTCCAATGGATAAATGGACAAAGGATATGAACAGAAAACCTTCAAAGGAAAAAAGCCAAGCTATAAAAAATCATATAAAAATGTTCAAAACACTAATCCTTAAAGGAATACAAATTAAAGCACATTTGAGTTTCCCCTGTACACCTATTATTGAACTGGCAAAAGAAGAAAATGACAAATGCTAGAGAGTCTATAAGAAAATATGTATACTAGTGCATGGTTACTAGAGCTATGATTTGGTCAAGCCTTTGTAGGAAGTATTTGGAACTATGTCCAGAAAGTTACCACACTGTGTATACCCTATGAGCTAGCAATATAACCACTAGATCTATGCCCCAAAGAGATCAAGGAGAGAGGAAAAGGACCTACAGGCACAAAAATATTTGCGGTACCTCTTCGTGGTAGCCAGAAATTGGAAATCCAAGAACCTTCCTCTTTCTGGGTAATGGCTAAAGAAATTGTGATATACGAGCATAACAGAATATTACTGTGCCAATAAAAAATAACGGAATGGACAATTTCAGTGGAAATGAGGCAAGCCTTCATGAATGAGTGCAGAGTAAAGTGGGCAGAACCAGAAAAATTTATACAATGGCAACAACAATATAAGGAAAAGCAACTTGGAAAGACTTTCAAACTCTGATCTAAGCAATTCCGATAAAACATGAATCCAAAAGAATGAAGACAAAATATTCCACTTACCTCTTGAAAGAGAGAGAGGTGAAGAAGGTAACATGCAGAAAAAGACCTACATTTTCAGACACAGTTAATGTAAGAATTTGTTTTTTTCAGACTTTACAGATATGTATTAAAGGATATGTTTTGTTTTGTTTTGTTTTTAATTTGCTTAATGGAGGAGTGGTAGAAAGGAGGGCATATTAATGAAAAGATATTTGTTACCTAAGTAATTTTTAAAATGTTTAATACAGTTTATAGATTTTCTAAAAATGATATATTACTGTACTAATATGTCATGTACATCACAAAATATACACAAAAGAGAAATTCTAAAAGAATGAGATAAAGTAAATAATATTTTAAAAGAATTTGTATTTTGCATAACAATAATACAAAAACCCTTTTTGCTCTCATTGTTAATGCCAGTATTAGTAAATATATTTTTGAAAGAAAAAAATATGGATGTTGAAAACTATCTTTACATGTTCTTGGAAAAAATAAAATACTGTTTACCAAAAAAAGAAGAAAGAAAGAGAAAATAAAGAAATAAGCTGTGCCACATTTCCTCATTCAAACTCAGAGCTTCTGTTTCCAGTCTGAAAAAAAGATCCCCACCTAAACCTCACTCTTAACTACCTCCTTGAAAATCACTCAGCTTTTCCTCTCTCCCCACCCCACCAACAGCTGATAGAAGAGTTTTTAGAAGTAGCACTTGGAGAAGACATCAATTTCTTAGCTGCAAACTGAGTTTAGCCTCCTGAAATCAAACTAACAATAATCCTTCACCTTCCAGACCACCCACCCAATCAGTCAGTGAAGGCAACAAGAGAAAAAACAATGCACAAGTCCTGTATCTCTCATGAGAAAACCGAAGTACTCCTCCCATATCCCCCCATAATCCACCCCTACTCTGGATCAGCCTGGCAAAGCTGCTCACCTGGGGCTTGAATAAGAATGCCAAAGACACCCAAAGTCAGGATCTCGGGCAGCAGGGAAGTCTTCCACATCTTTCCCTCTGAACAGCCTTCTGGTGATGCCTAATCAGATGACTGGCCTGGCCTTTAATACAAAAAAGAAGCAGATCAAAGGGCACTCCAGGGAAACTGGGGCTAAGTGCTACTTAAAGGACTATTTCCTGAGACTTTGTCTTAGGCATATTTGAAAAAAAAAATTAGGTTGAATATCTAAAGGCAAAAGAAGGCACATCTGAAAATCTATCTCTACAGCAGGGACATGCTCGTAAACATGGAATAACAATCCCTCTGAAAAACAAAAAAGGAACAAACAAATGTATGCATGACATACACTGAATTTAATCTCTATTAGTAACATTGTTTCCAGTGCTTAAGTCTACACTATCAACAGAAGGATTAATCAAGCCCCGAATTGTAGCATTATCTGATTTCAGAGGGGCAAATATGCCAATGGGTGCCCAAGAGCCAGCTTGAGCTGCCCCCACCACTTCACCTGACGTGTGAATTACACAACCTACCCACTCTCCCTCCCAATTTCTGGAGACTTCTATGAGCTTTCACCTCTTGAAGCTCTTCAGTTCCTTGGTTATTTTTCCAGATCCCATTTGGGGTCTCATTAGAAAACACATTGGAGCAGTTTGGTATTTCTTTCTCCAGCTCATTTTGCAAAAGAGGAAACAGGGTTAAGTGATTTGCCCAAGGTCACACAGCCAGGAAGTGTTTAAGGCAGGATTTTAACATACAGTGCTAAGCTCTAGTAGTACAAATACCAGAAGAAAGACAACCCAAGAGCAGTGGGAGCTTACCTTCTGATAGAGGGAAAGAACAGATAAAAGATGGGGGGTGGAGGAGGAGAAAGGGAGGAAGGTATCTTTATGAAAGTACTGGGAGAAGAAGGAATGTGGTATGGACAGGAATGAAGACATGGTTGACTAGGGCCTGCTACGTAAAATGGAGGTTTGAAGGGCCCTCATAAGGCAGAAGACATCACCTCGTCAGGCTGCTCGTTCTACTTTTGAACAGTTCTAATCACTGGCACATCTTTCCTGGCATCAAGCCTAATTTTGCCCCTTTGTTACTTTCCCCCAATCTTGCTGCTCCTGCCCTTGGGGAACCAAACAGACCAAGGCTAATTCCTCCTCATTATGATCTTTCAGGTGTTAAGACAAAGAGTGCTTCTACCCTCATCAAACCATTGGGATCCAAAGTGTCAATGGATTCAAGGCAAGACCTCCACACTGATCATTCTGTACTAGCCCCTGCGTGACCACTTCTCAGGGATGTTGTAGAAAATGGTTCTTGTCCATGCAGAAGTGGGTCTAGGAGGCTTCTCAGGTGTCTTTTGATTTTGGGAATCTGTGGTTTGGCCAATCTCTACTCACTCTTCTGTTGAGGACTTGGAGCTTCCAAGGAGGCCCCAAGTAAATAAGACAACGTGACTCCAAGAACCTTCCCCAGGGAAGTGGGAATGTGTTTCAATGGCTCTGTTAGGGGCTGCATGCCGTTAAATGCACCCAATCATAGCCAATTCCCTTCAAGGTAGAATGTGGTTAGAACAACAAGTGGATAGAGAGGGGAAAGAAAGAGGCCCTCCTAGACTCAGTTTCTCCATCTGTAAAATCAAGGGTTTGGAAAGAAACAACCATTTTCAAGCACCTACTATGTGCCAGCCACCGAGTTAGCACTTTACAAATATCTCATTTGATCCTCACAACAACCCTAGGAATTACATACTGTTGTTATCATCCCTGTTTTACAGTTGAGAAAAATGCCCAGCATCACACAGCTAGTTAGGCATCTGAGACTAGATTTGAACTGAGGTCTTCCTGAATCCCAACCCATTGCTACCACTATTGCCCCACCTTGCTGCCTCTAGGCAGCTGTGGAAAAGAGTCACAGCTCTACACGGGAGACCATAGAAAGTCAGAAAGAAGCACTGGGACTATATTTGGCCTATGGAGTGGTTAGAGACTTGTCTGGGTGTGGTAAAGACTGGAGTATAGTCTGAGTCCTATCAATTGGGAGTCAGAGTGACTGACTTGGTGAGTGAAGAATAGTTATGTGATGTGAACCAGCTTACTCCCTTCCCATACCAGTTGGAACCTCTCTTACCTTAGAAAGGCCTAAAAGCTGGATTGGCCAATCAGGAGAAAGACATTTGTTGGCCCAATCAGAGCTTAACTTTCCTTAATGCTTTGCATGCTCTGACATAACAGACATGCTTTGCTTTGCTCTCTGAATGAACCCAAGGCCTCCTGCTGGATTTTGCTGACTGGAAATATCAGTGAAAAGATAGCAAATTCAATGTTAGACAATTTAGTGAATGTATGAGAAAGAATAAGAGTAACTGAGAGAGTGTGAAAGGAATGACTTTAGGTGGATTCTGTAGTAAGGAAAGAGCTGAAATCGACTTGATGGTCAGCTTGGCATAGAAAGCCCTCCACAATTTTTCTCCCACACTTTATGTTCTACTTCAGCCTGTCTGCTTTCTGTGTCTGACACAGGACATTTCATTTCCTGTCTCTGCAGATGGTTGCACATGTCTGGAATGCACTCAATCCTTGTCCCTTCCTGGAAGAGTCAGGGAGGATATAAAGGTAATTCTTGACAGGCATGGTTTAGACCAGAGGGCCTCAGAGGACCCCTCCAACTCTGAGCTTTTATGATTCTTTTAGTGCCCACATTCCCTCAGACCAAGAGGTAGTGCTTTGATGAGGCTTCCAGTAAACAAATAATATGTATCCCAGAGCATTCTTGAAGGATGTTAGCTTCCCCAAAATAGCAATTTTAATATTTTCCCCAGGATTTTTGTTTCCAATTGGAGTAATTCTTAGAACCTTCCCTGAGTCAATCAGCATGTATTATAGGTCAAAGAATTGAAGAATTTTATTTGTGGAAATTGGATCTTTTAACCAAAGTTACAATTCTACAAGCCATAGATAATCACTTGATTTATTATAGAAGAAAGGTTCATGCATGTGGGAACCCAATATACCAAGGAGCCTACCTCACAGACAATGCCTTTGATATTTATGGGGCACAGGAAAAAGGAGAGGTCTCATGGGAGGAGTACAGGGCAATACCTTCCCAAATGGAAGTGTTATGGGAGGAGGAATGGAGCAGCAGAGGAGGGGGAATGAGAGGAAGCAGGAAGACTTGGAACACCAGACCATGGAGGGAGGATGTTCTGTTTATCTGAAAGGGTCTCAGCTGCACAGTTTATCAGTCTGGGCAGACTGGCCAGAGCCAGAAAGCATGATTGAGTTAAGTTATGAAAGATCACTGTTATGTTAGTTTAGGGGGTTTCATCTCTGGAAAATAGGTTAACTGAAGAACACAAGTTCAGGGGGCCTCTCCACAGATCTAAGGGACCATCTAATGCAACCCATATTGGGAAGAAATCCCTCCTGTAACAAGGTCAGACAGGATTGACCATATCCACTTGTGGGTCATCCTTTAACCTTTTACTTGACTCATTGCCTTCTTTATTCTCATTACTTGATTTCTCTAATAATCCAAAGCTACATCCAGCTATTTTCTTATTCATTATTAAATCAGATCATTTCTCTTTAGTCAATTAAACTTTAAGATAGTTCTGGAAATGCTAGCAATAGCAATAATACAGGAGGAAGAAAGTCAGAGAAATAGGCTGAGAAGAGAGACAATTATTCCTATTTGTTAATGACATAGTAGTTTACTTAGTAAATCCAAGGGAATCGGCAAAGAAAGTAATAGCTCCAAAAACCAGTTGCAGACTACAGAATAAACCCACAGTAACAAATTGAACTTCTACATAATATAGCAAAATTCCAAAGGCAATAATAAAAAGAATCATTCAAAATAGTTGGAAAAAATGCATAAACAAACATCTCACACCATATATCAAGATAAAGTCAAAATGGGCACATGATTTAGACAGAAAGGGTGATTCCATAAGCAATTTAGGACAGCAAGGAATCGTTTACCTGTCAGATCTACGGAGAAGGCAAAATTTCTGACCAAACAAGAGATAGAGAACATTATGAAATATAAAATGAATCATTTGGATTACATTAAATTAAGAAGGTTTTTTACCAACACAACCAACATAACCAAGATTAGAAGGAAAACAGATAGATAGGAAAGCATTTTTATAGCACATGTTTCTGATAAAGCCCTCACGTCTCAAATACACAGAGAACTGAGTCAAATTTATCAGAATGCAAGTCATTCCCCACTAATAAATGGTCAAAGGGTAGGAACAGGCAGTTTCCAGATGAAGACATTAAAACTATCTATAGCCATATAAAAATGTTCTAAATCACTACTGATTAGACAAAAGCATATCAAAACAATTCTGAGGTACCCCCTCACACCTATCAGATTGGCTATAATGAGAGAAAGGGAAACTGATAAATATTGGAGAAGATGTGGGGAAACTGGGACAGTAACTTACTCTTGGTGGATTTGTGAACTTATCCAACTATTTAGGAGAACCATTTGGAAATATGCCAGAAAGGCTATAAAAATGCATATACCTTGTGATCTAGCAATACCACTTCTAGGTGTGTATCTGAAAGAGATCATAAAAGGGGGAAATAACCCACACATGCAAAAACGTTTATAGCAACTCGTTTTGTAGTAGCAAAGAATGGGAAAGTGAGGTAATGGCCCACCAATTGGGTAATGACTGAACAAGTTACAGCATATGAATATAAAGGAATACCATTGTAATATAAGAAATAATGAGCAGGCAGATTTCAGAAAAACCTCAAATATTATTTATCAAAAAAAAGAGAAAGATACAAAAAATAAAGAAATAAGCTGTGCCACATTTTCTCATGGAAATGCAGAGCTACTATTTCCAGTCTGAAAAAAGATCCTCCCCCAATCCTCACTCTTATCAACCTCCTTGAAAGTGACTCAGCTTTCCCTCTCTCCCCACCCCACCAGCAGCTGATAGAAGAGGTTTTGTACATAACACATGGAGAGGTCAGCAATTTCTTAGCAGCAAACTGAGTTTGGCCTTCTCAAATCAGACCAGCAATAATCCTTCACCCCCAGCCCACCCACCCAAACAGTCAGTGAGGGCAACAAGAGAAAAAACAATGCACAAGTCTCGTATCTCCCATAGGAAAAATCAAACAGCTGCTTAAAAGACTCCCTCCTGAGACCTTGTCTTAGGTATATTTGAAAAAAAAATTAGATTGAATCTATAAAGGCAAAAGAAGACAGATCTGAAAACTCTATCTATCCAATGGGGATATAGTGGTAAATGTATGAAAACAACCTCCCTGGAAAACAAAAACAAACAAACAAATGCATCCCATGATATACTCTTAATTTAATCTCTATTAGTAACATTGTTTCCAACACTTAAGTCCAGATAATTAACAGAATGAGAAATCAAGCCTTGAATTGTAGCATTTTCTGATTCCAGGGACCATCTAATTCAACCCATATTGGGAAGAAATCTGTCCTGTAACAGGATCATACAGGATTGACCACACCCAACTATTGGTCATCCGTTAGCCTGTTATTTGACTCGTTACCTTCTTCATTCTCATTACTTGATTTCTCTAATAATCCAAAGCTACGTCCAACTATTTCTTTATTAATTATTAAATCAGATCATTTCTCTTTAGTCAATTAAACTTTAAGATAGTTCTGGAAATGCTAGCAATAGCAATAATACAGGAGGAAGAAAGTCAGAGAAATAGGCTGAGAAGAGAGACAATTATTCCTATTTGTTAATGACATAGTAGTTTACTTAGTAAATCCAAGGGAATCAGCAAAGAAAGTAATACCTCCAAAAAAAGTTGCAGATGACAAAATAAAACCACAAAAACAAATGGCACTTCTACATAAGATAGCAAGATCTCAAAGGCAGTAATGAAAAGATCCACTCAAAATAACTGGAAAAAAGCATAAAATAATTGGTACAAGAATCAATCATAGAAAGGGAAATCCCATAAGAAATAACTATAAAATGTATGAAATGTCTGGGGACCAACCTTTCAAAGCACAGAAAAGACTTGTACAAATTGAATTACAAAGAGCTCCTTAAAGAAATAAAGAGCAACATAAGTAGCTAGAAGAATATTCAATATTCATTACTAGGCTGTGCCAATATAATGAAAACCAGTATGCTACCAAAATTAATTTGCACTTTTAAGGCTATGCAAATCAAATTAACAAGGGATATTTCACAACACTTGACGAAATAATAACAAAGCCCATTTGGAAAAACAAAAGATATAGAATGTTAAGGGAAATATTGAAAAGAAGTAGGGATGAAGAGAGAATAGCATGTCCTGATCTCAGACTATATTATAAAGCAGCAATCATCAAAACCACCTGGTATTGGTAAACAATAGAGAGATAGTTCAATGGAACAGAGTAAACAAGAGTGATTCAGAAACAATAGAACTCAATAACAAAGTGTTTGATAAAGTAGAAAACATTAGTTGCCTATTGAAAAATTCCTTAATTCATAAATAGTACCTGAAAAACTGGAAAGCAGAGTGACAGAAATTAGGCTTAGCCAACATCGCCTTATACAACATTGCATAATAAATTCAAAATGGATGAGTGTCTTGAATATTAAAAATCATGTCTTAAAAAGTTAGGAGGAATTGGTCATGTGCCCTTTGTGGCTATGAGTAAAGAATGAATTAATCACAAAAGGTAAAATGGTTAATTTTGATTACATGAATTGAAAAGATTTTGTGTGATCAAGATAACTGTGGTAAGAAAAGGCTTTACAAATAGCTTCTTCCATGAAAATGAATGTATTGTAAAAAAAAAAAAACACCAAAAACCAGGGGGCTTACTCTGTCTCCTACTGACTGCATTTTAGTAGACTGAACTGCTATGAGTCAGTGCATGGGGGAGGGTCTCATGCCCTTTCTCACCTGGAACAGCAGTTCTCATTTCCCTATTCTGTCTATACTTTCCAGTTTTAGGCACTGTATGGAAGACAGCTATGATCTTGTAAGTTTTGAAAGGTCAGAAGAGTCAGCCTTTAGAAGTCCTGAATCTGGAGTCCATATCAGCAGATTTGCCAGCAGATGTGAGGAGCCATCACTTTGACTCAGCTCAGCAGTGCCCTGCAGCAAAGGAGAAGCAGTTCTGCTGAATTTGGAAGTGAACTTGGTGGCAAGAACATTGTAGCATCTGCCTTAAGTTCAAGCCAATTCTCATGGACCAACATGGTATGTTTGTACTTCTCTTCTCAGAAAATATTACTTTGTAAAAGACGATTGATGTTAATTGGTTAAAATGATACTGGGGAAATAATCTTTGGTATCAATAAAAATGAGGAGATATCAACCAGAACTCCTCTAATGACATTGGAGAGAACACAGTAGAACAGGAACTGGAGTCAATGGCCTGAGGAAAATCAGCCACAATCCCTTGTGCATAGCCCCTAGAGCTGTCTGAAACCCAACAGAAAACCTACTTGCCAGTGTGACTTTGGATAAGGACACCCTCCCAGCCTACCCAAACCATCGCATCCCTGCCTCCTCCCTCTCTGAGCTTTATGGGACACCTAAAAGAAAGAATAGTCCAAATCACTAATAATGAGAGAAATGCAAACTGAAACAACCCTGAGGTTTCACTTCACAACCAGAAAACTGACAGAGATGATGAAACATGGGAATAGTCAACGGTGAAGTAATTGGGTAAAGACAGACACAATACATTGTTGAGGGAGCTGTGAATTAGGTAAACAATTCTGGGAAATGAATTGGAATGAAGACTAATATTAGCTAATAATAGCTAGAATTTGTTTTATGATTTAAGGTTTACAGAGTGCTTTACAACGATCTTCTTTAATCCTCACAAGAACCCTGGCAGGTAGATGCTGATATTATCCCTCACTTAAAAATGAGAAAACTGAAGCAAACAGAAGTTAAGTGACTTGCCCATAATCACACAGCTAATAGGTATGTAGAGGCTGGATTAGAATTCAGTACTTCCTGACTCCAGGTATAGTATTCTATCCTTTGCACTACCTAGCTGCTTAATTATGCAAAGAAAATTACTTAAACACCCATACCTTTTGAACCAAAGATAGTAACTTCTACTAGGAGACTGAAGGTTAGCAGGGAGTGAGGAAGTAGCTAGGTTAGAGACCAGTCTGGATACAAACTGAGCTGTTTGTTGGTAATTAGAGTGATAGACGATGAGTGAAGAGAGAGAACAGTACTGTGAGGAGATCGTGCACTCAGTGTGAAAGGATTTGATAAATAATAGTGAGAGCCAGCATTTACATAGTGTTTTAAAATTTGCAAGGCACTTTTCAAGTGTGATCTCATTTGAACCTCATAAAAATGGTGGAAGGTAGAAGGTATTATTATTAACCCTATTTTACAGATGAGGAAACTGGGGGAGGCAGGAGTTACATGCCTTGTCGGTCACACACTTACTGACTGACGACCAGATATGAGTTCAGGTCTTCCTGACTCCAGGCCCAGCAATTTATCCACTGCTTCACCAGTTCCCTTTAAATGAGCGAATGGGAGAGAGTGTGGACGGATTGACCAATTCTGGTTCTGGTTGTCTGAAGCAGCACAGAGAGCCAAATTGATTCAGCCTGATTCAGCTCTCCAGGATCCAGCTGCCCTATGGTACTTTCCAGCCCAGCTGCCTGCTAGAATTTCCTCTTAAATGAATCTCTTGCTCCTGCCTGGGAGATTTCAATAGGTATTGGGAAGGCATCCCCTTCTCACTCCTCTTGGCTGAGGATTTAAATTTTTTTTTTCAGAGCTCAGGTGGGGCAGCTAGATGGCATAGTGGATAGATCACTCGCGTTGCAGTAAGGAGGACCTGAGTTCAAATCCAGCATCAGACACATCATACTCATTAGCTACGTGACCCTGGACAAATCATTTACCCCCAATTGCCTCATGAAAAAAAAAAGTACAGCTCAGGTTCTAGCTTGTACCTGAGACTGTCCTTCTGTCCATACCTGTTGATACTGTCTCTCTTTTACTTTCACATATACTGTGTCCTCCCAACCCCTTGCACACAGGGAGTCTTTCATTCTTTTTCTTCCTTCCTGTTTTCCTTCCTTCCTGTTTTCCTTCCTTCCTGTTTTTCTTCCTTCATTCCTTCCTTCTTCTTTCTTTCTTTCTATTTCTTTCTCCCTTCTTGTCTTCCTTTCTTGTTGTCTCTTCCTGTTTTTCTCTTTTTTCTTCCTTCCTTCATCTTTCTCTCTTCCTTTTTCTTCCTTCTGCCTTCTGTCCTCTCATTTTCTTTCTCTTGTTACTTCTCTTTCTTTCTCTCTCTTTTCTTCCTCCCTTTCCCCCTCTTTCTTGTTTATTCCTCTCTTTCTCTTTTCTCTTGTTTCCCCCTTCTTCCTTCCTTCCTTCTTTTCTCCTTTCTTCCTTCCCTCTTTTCTCTTTCTCATTTTATCCCCAGCTACCAATTTAATGCCATACATTCAGTGTATTGTTTAATAAATACTTATTGCAATGAATTGAATTGAATTGCAGTGGAGCAAATGTCAACATGTTTCTTCCTTGCTCACATTTGAGGACTTGGTGTTGATCAGGCTAATGAATAGGAAGGCTACTGCCCTGAAGCCTTGAATTCCACTCTACAGATGCCCATAACTAGCATGCAAAAGGTGGCTAAAACGATCCAGTCCCATTTAAATGTATGTATTATAGTGAGCTCTATTGTTATTGTATTCTCTTCACATGCTTACATAGATACTTATTAATTTCTCCATGAGGACATAAACTCCTGCAACGTTGGGGTTGTTTCTTTCTTTGTATTTGTACCCTAGCTCCTGGCACAGTATCTAGCACATAGTAGGTGCTTCATAAATGTTTGTTGGTTGCTCAGTATCTTAACACTGCCACCCCTTCCTCTCCTTTTCTTCTCTTCCCTTCCTTTTCTCTTTCCTCTCCCTCTGTCCACATAGGGCGTAACATCCAAGTGTTCTGCCAAAAAGAATATAAATTTTGATTGCTGGAACCACAACATATATGTCTTGGAGTTTACAGGCTAGATTTCTTTCTTAAGGAACAGGCATTAAACCCAAAACACTCTGGCTGTCTTTGATTCACCATCAATAAGTCCCAGCCAAAGTTTCACCTGGTCATTGTTTGGATTCTGGTGGCTCAGAGTGAATGCCAAAAGCAACTGTTTTCTCTTTTGGCCAGAAACACTAAGGGTCTTCTTCCAGACTGATTTTTTTGACTAGGCAAAAGTAGCCATTCTTTAGCTCATTTTTTACCTAGTCTTAATCACTAAATGGGCTTTACCTGAGTCAAACTGAGACCTTGGCTTAAAAAGGCCAAAGTCCCCCATTATATCCAGGGCTATCTCCAGTCCTCCAGATCTATATCTTGCCACAGAACCCAGATGGCTCTGGAGGAGAGAGTCAGGCTGGTGAATTTACACAGCCCTCCCTCACTTAAATCCAATTCTCTTGCAAGTCATGGCATCACCTTTTTGATGGCATTGTCCTCCTTGAGAATGAAGGACAAAAAACAACCACAGGACAGGATTCTTGTTTACACACAGGTTGGACCCGTGGTCTCTGTGTTCCACTCCAATACTGCACTTCTATGACCCTGACAGTCTTCACCCAGCGAAGAGTAGGAGCTGCCAACATAAGTTCTTAAGCAAACAAATGACATGGCTCTCAGAAACTCCCCTGGGTTGTTTGCTTTCTGTTGGCATCATGCCAAGAATTGTCCCCAGAACAGCAGGAGCCTGTTTCAATAACGGTTCCAGGAGCTGGGACTGCATGCCCCTAAATGAATCCAGCTCAACCCACTTCATCCAAGTTGGAAAGCAGCTAGAACTACACGTGGATGGAAAGAGAAACGGGAACCTTCAAGTTCTATAGTAGGATGGTTGAATAGAGCACTGGACTTGGAATCAGGAAGACCTAAGTTCAAATCCTGACTCAGCCACTTGGTTGGTCAGTCGTTGTCCTTCGTTCTCCAAGAGGATGAAAATGACATCACTATGTTGGAGTCAAGCTACAGAGTGTGTCTGTGGCTGAGCAGGCCAAAATGAGCTCGAAGGCTAAAGCACAGGTCATACACAAAGAGTCCATTTGGACATTTGGAGTGGAGATTTGCGTATTTCATGTTCCTTTTGAGCTATTGCAATTCTGCTTCACTCACAGAGCATGGAGTCTTCTTTGATGTGGGCACACCATGCTTGGCAGTCCTTTGCCAGTTTCTTTCATGAAGTGCCAACAACTCCATAGTTCTTTAGAGAGACCTTGAGAATGTCTTTGTAGCACTTTTTCTGACTTTCATGTGAGCACCTGCCTTGCAAGAGTCCTCTGTAAAATAGTCTTTTGGGCAAACGTGCATTTGGCATTTGAACAACATAGCCAGCTAGCTGTATGACCCTAAGTGTGTCACTTACCCTCTGTCTACCTCAGTTTCTTCATTTCCAAAATGGGGATCAGAATAGCATCACCCTCCCAGGGTTAGCATGATGATCTAATGAGCTAATAGATGTAAAGCACATAATATGTTAGTTGACACATAGTAGGCACTATACAAATATTAGCTATTATCATTATTAATTATAGCTAATAAACACTCATGCAAACAGGTTACAAAATGCAGAGCATTCTTCACAGATAAACGTTGTTAAACTTTCTATTTTCCCAGCAAACTACAAGAGTCATGTAATGATGATGTTGCTAAAGTCTGAAGAGAGTGAAGCTTGATTGAGATGACATACTCAGCAGTGAAGGACTTGCAGCCTAAAGACCTGAGAGTGAGCCCTGCACAACCTCTTCCTAGCTGGGGGACCTGGGGTGAATCCCTTTAGTCCTTTGTGATACAATGAGTGGGTTGGAGCAGATGTTTATGATTTTTTTTTTAGCAATTGACCTAAATGACTTGTCCAGGGTCACAGAGCTGGTAAGTGGTTGAGCCTGAATTTGAACTCAGGCCCTCCTGACTCCAGGGAAGGCTCCTATCCATGGTGCCACCTACCTGCCCCTGGATCAGATATTCTTTAAGCTCTTGTCCAGCATGGGTACTCCCCAGTGCTAACAATAACTCTGGGACATAAGTTTTGTCAATTTAATTATTCCCACTGAGTTCATAAGGAAAAAGACATTCCAACAGGCAAAGAGAATTTGCTGACACCATGTAGCTGGTGGATGAGTGAAGTATTTCTGAAGGGCATCAAACACTGGGAATGCAAAGAGAGGTAAAAAACTGTCCTCATGGAGCTCACAGTCTAATGAAGGGAGACAAGCTGCAAACATCTAAGGATATACAACATATATACAAAGCAAATAGGGGATGATCAATAGTGAGAAGGCACCAGCTTTAAGGGGCATTTAGCAAAGGCTCCTTGTAAAAGGTGAGATTTTAGCTGAGCCTTAAAGGGAGCCAGGAGGGGCAGATGAAGAGGGAGAACGTTTCAGGCATGGGGGCAGCCAAAGAGAGTGCCCAGAGCCCAGAGATCCAGTGTCTTGGTCCAGGAACACCAAGAGGTCCAGTGTCACCAGATCAAAGAGTACATGTGGGGGAGTAAAGTGCAAAAAAAAAAAAGTGGGGAAGGTCCAAATTCTCAAGGTTTTAAAAGTCAAACAAAGGATTTAATATTTGATACTAGAAGTAAAGGTAGGGGCAGTTAGGTAGTGCAGTGGATAGAGCGCCGGCCCCAAAATCAGGAGGACCTGAGTTTAAATCTAGCCTCAGACACATAACACTTACTAGATGTATGACCCTGGGCAAGTCACTTAACACCATTGCCTAGCCAAAAAAAAAAAAAGAGGAAGTAAAGGGAACCACTACAGTTTAGCACATAAGGGGTGAAATCATCAGATGCTGGATGACATCATCAGATTTCAGTGGAGGATGAGCTGGACTGGGAAAAAAACTGAGGTAAAGGAAACTAGACAGTGGGCTATTTGAAAGTCATGATGTGAGGTTACCTGACCACCTAGCTTCCATTACATTCTGTATCACCTTTATGCTGCCTTAATTGTCTGAATCCTATATCAACTATCTTATTTTCTTAGTGATAAAAAATGTTTTGACAATTCAATATTGGATTTTTCTAAACGGAGAGAATATCTCCATGCCATAGATCCCTGTATCTCAGGGAAGTGCTACAACCAACTTGTACCAGAGCTGGTTGTTAAATTTTCAGCATGAGCATTTATACCTCAGAATTGGCATCCCCTGCAAATTAGTTTTTGGGTCATTGTTTTGTTGATTTCTAAACTTAAGAAAGTGATGGAGATAATGTGAATAATATAACTTGGAAGTATATCTTGTGAGGTTTTCAGAGAGCTGGTTGTTAAAAGTTGACCAGCATGCCTCTGCCTGTATCCTGTTAGTAAAAGATTTTGTTATTGTGAAATATCTTGTTAGCATAACCACTCACAGCAGAGGAAGGATTCCATTTCATTTTGCAATTTTATTTTGAATAAAAGGAATCATGTAGAAGAACTGCATTGGATTTGGGCTCACAGATACTAATTGGATGTGTGCTGCTCCTTTACAAGTAA